ACCCATTGTATTGAGAATTTATATCATAACTGGTTGTTGGATCTTGTCAAATGCTTTCTCTGCATTTACTGAGATGATCATGTCATTTTTATTCCTTGTCTTGTTAATGTGGTGTATCTCATTGATTGATTTGTGGATGTTCAACCATCCCTGGTATAAATCCCACTTGATCATGGTGTATGATCTTTTTAATGTGTTGCTGTATTCAGTTTGCCAATATTTTGTTAAGGATTTTTGCATCTACGTTCCTCAGTGATATTGGCCTTTAATTTTGCTTCTTTGTATTGTCCTTGTCTGGCTTTTGTATCAAGGTGACATTGGCCTCATAGAATGTGTTAGGAAGTGTTCTGTCTTCCTCAATTTTTTGAAACAGTTTGAGAAGGATAGGTATTAAATCTTCTTTGCATGTTTGGTAGAATTCTCCAGAGAAACCATCTGATCCTGGACTTTTATTTTTGGGGGGGTTTTTGATTACTGTTTCAACCTCTTTACTTGTGATTGGTCTATTCAGATTCTCTATTTCTTCTTGGTTCAGTTTTGGGAGGTTGTTTGAGTCTAAGAATTTATCCATTTGTTCTAGATTGTTTGTTGGCATATAGTTTTTCATAGCATTCTCTTATAATCCTTTGTATTTCTGTGGTATCCATTGTAATTTCTCCTCTTTCAGTTTGAATTTTGTTTATTTGAGCCTTCTCTCTTTTTTTCTTAGTGAGTCTGGCTAAGGGTTTTTCAATTTTGTTTATCTTCTCAAAGAACCAGCTCTTTGTTTCATTGATCCTTTCTACTGTTTTTTTTGGTTTCAATGTCATTTATTTCTGCTCTAATTTTTATTGTTTCCCTCCTTCTGCTGACTTTGAACTGTGTTTGTTCTTCATTTTCTAATTCTGTTAAGTGTAGTTTAAGATTGCTTATTTGAGATTTTTCTTTCTTTCCTTTTTTTTAAAGATTGGCACCTGAGCTAACATCTGTTGCCAATCTTTTTTCTTCTTCTTCTCCTCCCCAAATCGCCCCGGTACATAGTTGTATGTTCTGGTTGTAGGTCCTTCTGGTTGTGCTATGTGGGACTCCGCCTCAGCATGGCCTGATAAGTGGTGCCATGTCCATGCCCAGGATCCTAACCGGCAAAACCCTGGTCCACTGAAGTGGAGCATGCAAACTTAACCACTCAGCCATAGGTCTGGCCCCATGATTTTTCTTGTTTGTTAAGGTGGGCCTGTATTGCTGTGAATTTCCCTCTTAGGACTGCTTTTGCTGCATCACATATGAGTTGGTATGGTGTATTTTCATTCTCATTTGTCTCCAGACATTTTTTGATCTCTCCATTAATTTCTTCAATGATCCATTGGTTGTTCAGTAGCATGTTGTTTAGTCTCCACATATTTGTCACTTTCTCAGCTTTTTTCTTATAGTTGATTTCTAGTTTCATAGCATTATTGTCAGAAAAGGTGCTTGTTATGATTTCAATCTTCTTAAATTTATTGAGGCTTGCCTTGTTTCTCAACATATGGTCTATCCTTGAGAATGTTCCATGTGCACTTGAGAAGAATGTCTATTCTGCTGTTTTTGGATCAAGTGTTCTATATATATATATATTAAATCCATCTGGTCTAGTTTTTCATTTAATTCCACTGTTTTCTTGTTGGCTTTCTGTCTGGATGATCTATTCATTGATGTAAGTGGGATGTTAAGGTCTCCTACTATTATTGTGTTGTTGTTAATATCTCCTTTTAGGTTTGTTAATAGTTGCTTTATGTACTTTGGTGCTCCTGTGTTGGGTGCATATATATTTATAAGTGTTACGTCTTCTTGGTGGAGTGTCCTTTTTATCCTTATGTACTGCCCCTCTTTGTCTCTCATTACCTCTTTGTCTTGAAGTCTACTTTGTCTGATATAAGTATGGCAATACCTGCTTTCTTTTGTTTTCCATTGGCTTGGAGTATCATCTTCCATCTCTTCACTCTGAGCCTGTGTTTGCTTTTAGAGCTGAGTTGTGTTTCCTGGAGGCAGCATATTGTTGGGTCTTGTTTTTTAATCCATCCGGCCACTCTGTGTCTTTTTTTTTTTCTTTTAAAGATTGGCACCTGAGCTAACATCCGTTGCCAACCTTCCATTTTTTTTTTTCTTCTTCTTAAATCCCCTCAGTACACAGCTGTATATTCCAATTGTTAGTGCCTCTGGTTGTGCTATGTGGGACACTTCCTCAGCATGGTCTGATGAGTGGTGTCATGTCCGCACCCAGGATCCAAACAGGTGAAACCCTGGGCTGCCAAAGTGGAGTGCGCAAACTCAACAACTTGGCTGCAGGGCTGGCCCTCTCTCTGTGTCTTTTGATTGGAGAATTCAAGCCATTTACATTTAGAGTGATTATTGATATATGAGGGCTTAATGCTGCCATTTCATCACTTGTTTTCTGGTTCTTTTGCTTTTCCCTTGTTTCTTGTCCTGTGTATTTTGGACTACCAATTTGGTTTGGTAGTTTTCTAAGTTTTCTCTTTGTTTATCATTTGTGTCTCTGTTCTGATTATATGTTTAGTGGTTACCATGAGTTTTGTCTTTCTTTCATATATATTTTTAATATACTGGTTTACATTCTGTTTATATTCTTCTAGTAGCTAACTATGGATTTTTAACATACTTATTTAGAATTATATTTTTTCTGTAAATCCCTGAAAGAGAGAACAAGTTTCTACATCATCCTCCCAATCATGCTGAGAACTTGGCCATCATTTTACTTCTCTCTGTGTCCACACCTGTTCCTTCCCACTGCTCCCTCATCCCATGTGGGATATCATCTGGTATTTCAGCTCCTAAGCGGCATTTCAAGCATTTTGGTTTACAGTAATTTCTTATCTAGATATTTAGCAATGTTTTACTAATTTCTCTGATTATTGTTGCTTTTAAATCCTTGTCCTCCTAGATTCATTTTTCCTATTACTTGAGAATTTCCTTCAATATTTCTTTCAGAGAGGGTCTTTTTTGAGTCCTTATCTTTCTAAAAATGTATATAAACTTAAATATATCTAGTTAAAATCCTGTGCTCAGGATTCACAGCAACTTTTGCTAATTTCTTTGCTTACTGCTGCTTCTTGCACATCGTACTTCCTCCTAGATTTATCCTTTGTGTAGAGCATTTCCTTTGGTAATTATCTCAGAGAAGTTCTGTATTAACTTCATTTCCTCAGGAATAGGTTCCTCTATCTGTTGAGTCTCGGGCTCCCTTTTGTGGTGTGATCTTTCCTCAGATGTTTGATGGCCCTTGATTGTGTGCTTGTCATTGTGATGGAGCTTTCCACTGGGATGCTTTCTTTGCAGACGGGGGATAGCTGCCCCATGGCTCACACAAAGGCCTGCTCTCCATGCACTGGGATGCTTGCTTTGCAGAGGAGGGGAGCTCCCCCATGGCTCGCATGAAGGCCTGCTCTCCACGCAGCAGGGTGCAGATGGGATGTAGTGCTAGATGGGGTACCTCAGGAACCAAATCTCCTGGTTTCTTGCAGGTGCCACCTATGGCCTGGGGTGCCACTTGCCTCTCCTTGATCCATATATGCTACTCCCGGAGACATAAACCTCACTGCCCCGGCCAAACAGCTGAGGTAGAACACTTGGGTCTCTGTGGGACTCCAGTTTGCTGTTCTGTGGTCTGTTGGCAGCTCTATCTGGCTCCAGCCTTTCGCACTGTGGGTGTAGAGCATTTCTTCTGTGGCCCCACAGTCTGTAGCCATGTTGGCTGATGCTTTTTCTCTTTGATCTAGTTCCAATTGCTCTCCATCATTCCAGGTCTTCTAGTAGTTTCTTTGTCCGCATTAGCTTCCTTTCTTGCTTTCAAATATAGCTATGTTTTCTTTCTTTTTTAAAAAATAACATCTTTCTTATCATTTTGAGGGTTTTGTATGGGATGAGGAGACTGATGTATGTGCTCAGTTTACCTTCCTAAAAGCAGAAATCTGACTTTTACCGTTCCATCACATTTCTGACAGCTTGAGTCCCCCTACCTCCCCCCACCACTGCTAGGATGTTTCAGCCCCAGGGTTAGACATAACTGTGAAGTACTGGGGTCTTAAAGAATTATGGAGGAATACGCCATGTTCATGGGCTCCCCAGGGGAGTGCTCTTCCCTGAGACTTCTGAAAGTTGGAGCTTGCCAGGGAGGGATGCCCAGGAGAAGGCTAGATGGCTGCTGCATCTAAGCAAAGATCAGGAGTAAGCAAAGATCGGGAGGTGTGTGAGAGCATGCTGTGGTGGTGTAGTGGAAGCCAGAGCAGTGAGGACAAAGTGTGGTGGGAGCCCCAGAAAGGAGGAGGTCCTCTTCAAAGAGAAGCCATGAAATTGCTGTCACATGTTTCAGACATGAGACCCTAGAAGCCCTGTCCTGCAGACTGTGGAGCCTGGAGAGGACAAAGTCCAGTCTGTAGTCCAGATAACCCCTGTCCTGTCCCAACAGCCAGCAGTGTATCAGAAGTGGGCTGATGCTTCTTGACCTCTGGTTGTGGAAAACCAAGTCTAAAGGCTGATTTCCTGTGAAGTTATTGAAGCTGAAGTCCCAGGCCCCTCACTTGCACAGGACACGACCGTGGCTCTGGGAGGGCGGGATGCACCTTAGTTAACTGTTTGCATGGTAATATATTTTCCCTGAAATAGGAAAAAGTGAGTTATTTTTGTAGTTTTATTTAAAAAAGACATCCAAATTATATAGGCTTTGGGCCCCACAGAATCTAAATCTGCCCTCGATGTGTCATTAAAGACAGGAAGAAGGTAGAGCCAGTTAGCAGGGCAGTTGGATAGATAATCAAGCTGGAGAAAGGAATATGAAGGAAGATTAATCCACTTATGGGAGACACATCACAGGTGAGCAGCACTGGCCCTGAGAAAGTGAAATTTAAAAAGATCAGATGATCTTAATGGGCTACAAGCCAAACTCCTGACAGTGATGCTCAAGGCTGAAAGGTCCAGGACTGCAGCAGTGACCGATGATGTGAATGTGTTTTTTGTCTGCTTTTCAGGACCAGGCAGCTAAATGGCACCTGTGCCAGCTCAGTGGACATGGAGCTCTTCCTCCATTACTCCCTCATCCCATCAGTAAGTAAAGGCAGGGGAGGGCTGAGGGGGGAGGGAAGGGGAGCTGGGCTACTCCCCTACACAGGCTCCCAAAGGGGCCTGAATAGGTCAGGGGAGAGATATCAGCTGAGTTTCCTTCTAAACCTCATCTCGCTCTCTTACATTATGCACCAAGAACACAGGCAGAAGAAGGCTTTTAAGGGCTCAAGAGTCAGGGACACTGGCTTTTAGGGGAGTCAAAAAAGGCTTTTCTGAGGAAGCAGTGATGGTGCTGAGGTCTGTTGAAGACATAGTAAAGAGCATCTCAGGCAGAGGGGAGAGCATGTGCAAAGGCTCTGTGTAGGGGTGGAGAATGGAGAGTATGAGGAACCGAGAGGGCTGCCATGTCTGGAATGGAGAATGGAGGTGGAGTTGTCTGGGCAGATGGGCAGGGCCAGGCCAGTAGAGCCTGGTGGGGCTTTATTGAAAGTAAAATGGGAAGTACTTGGAGTGTTTCCAGCATGAGAGTGGTGTAGTCAGATTTATGTCTTGAAATGATCACTCTGGTTGCAATGTGGAGATAGGTCGGAGGTGGGCAAGAGAAGGGGCAGGAAGACCAATTAGGAATGGTTGCAGGGGTCCAGGTGAGAGGTGATTTTAGCTTATCCTAGATGATGGTGGTCAACTGGAGATGTTTGGGAGATAAAAACAATAGGACTTGGTAATGTGTCGTATAGAGAAGTTAGGGAGAGGGAGAGGTTGTGGATGACTCAGGTTTCTAACTTGCATAGCTTGAAGGATGGTGCCATCTGCTATTCACTAGTTAAGGAAAATTAGAAGAGATCCAGGTTTGGAATGAATGAAGGGACAGGGCAGGGAGGAAAATCATGCGTCTGGTTTAAGACATACTAAATTTGAGAAGCTTTCAACACGTCAAAAAGAAATGCTGACTGTGTAGCTGGATGAACAGTTATGGAGCTCAGGGGCAGTCTGGGCTGGAGATTCATGTCTGTGAGTCTGCTGTGTATTGGTGGCCATTGACAGCACAGACCTGGATGAGATCGCTGAGGAAGAGAGGAGTGGGGAATAAGAGGAGAGGTCCTTGGACTGAACTCCAAATCTAGTGGTTGGGTAAAGAATGATCCAGCAAAGGGGACTGAGAAGTAATGGAGACAAACCAGAAAAGCATGGTTGATGTAAGCCTAGGGAACAGAGAGTATTTCTAAGAGGAGAAAGTTGTCAACCCTGTGGAATGCAGCTGAGAGGTCAAGCCAGATTTGGGCTTAAAGTTTACATTGGACTGAGCAACAAGAGGGTTATTAGAGATGTTGGCCAGAACCGTTTCTGTGGAGTGATGAGGGTTAAAGAGCCAGGTTAGTGGGCTGAAGAACAAGTGAGAGGTGAGGAAATGGAGACGGCAAGTGTAGACAATTCTCAAGAAGTTTCTAGTGAAGGGAGAGAGACAAGGGGTACCAAGTATGTAAGAATATGACTGAATCCACAGGAAAAAAAGCAAAGAAGGATTTTCAACCTGACAGGTATTATCCCCTTTTTACAGATAAGAAAACTTAGGTTCAGAGAAGTGAAGTCTCCCTCCCAGCCAGTGTGTGGGAGAGACTAGATTTGAACCCGTGTCTGTGCAGGGCAACACCATGGAAAGCCCAGTATAAAACGTTCTGGCAGCTTAAGGGCGCATGCAGTCAGCTCCCTGAGTTTGGCGTTTGGGGATTCATGGGCATCCTGAGTGCTCTCCTCACCCACACACTCTCTCAGAGAGGGCATCAAGGCCACGCCGAGGATGAATATTCCCACTGACACTTTCATCTTCTCTTCCTATAGCTTTTCATCATTTTAGTCTTGTCCTTTCTCCAAAGACGAGAGCAGCATAGACAGAGAGGTGACACTTGCTACCTGCTGGGGAACCACTTTGGAATCATCATGTGAGTTGAGCTAGGGTTGATCACTACTGTTTGGGGTACCCTGTGTTTGGGGCCAACACCAATTGTAAGGCCAGAATAACTTCCAGTTATCCTGTGATGGGGCACTCTCTCCCTCCTGCTCCCTGAGGTAGCCACAGTGCTGAGCATGGCAAGGCCTTTCCCATAGTGAGCTGAGCCTCCTTGAGATGTTTTGAGCACATTTGGGCAGCCCTGGGTGCTGAGGCTACAAGGGCTTGCCAGCCAATTCTGAACTTTCTGAGCTTTGGTTGAGTTGGGGCAGGGAGGGGCAGGGCTGTCCATGGGGGGCCCAGGGTTGGGGGGACTGGCATGACTTTCCAGAACAGAACCGTAATCTAACTGGCTCATGTCCTCAGGGTCACAAGTCCAAAATACAAGACCAAGTATCTGATTGACCAATCCTAAGTCAGGTAGTCACCCATAGTCCAATCAGCTGTGGTCAAGCAGGGGCAATTGCATGGAACCAGCACAGCCAGTGATACCCAGACCTGCATTTTGGCAAGAACAACTCTCACAAGCTGTGCCAGGTTCAGGGCAGGCACCCCCAAACCTGTCTGGGGTATGCTACTTGTTTTGGTCTCTCATAGATGAATCTCATCCCATTTTGCCTGTCATCATAGCTACTGGAGTCCTTGCTTGAATCCTCCTAGACTTGGAGCTCCCCAAGGGCAAGAATTTTGTCTTTCTCACTTCATTACCCTGAATCCATGCCTAGTCCCAGAATTGGCAGAGAGGGCCTCAGGAAATGTCAGTTGAAATGAATAGTTTACTACCCAGTAATCTCTCCTCAGGGTAGGCTGGATAATTTGGAGATGAGCTGTCAGAATGAGCCACCTCCTAGCCTCACAAACTGTTTATCTTCTTCACAGACCTCTGGACTTCATGGGTACTTTTAGGAACCGATGGTCCTATGGAATGGCCTTTGGGGCCACAGCCAATAAGGTCATGTTCTTGTTCTCAGAAGGCTACCAGCCCCTGCAGGTCCCGCAGTGGGCCCAAGGTACAAGGGCTGCCTCACACCTGCTGGGAATTTCGCCAGGGAAATTCTTGCTTAGATATTACATGGCAGGGTTCTCTGGGATGAGGCGATAAGCATTATGAACTGTCAATGTTCTTCCTGGCCTGTTACTTGCCCAAGATCAATATCTAGCCACCAAGTCTCAAAGCTTGTTTGTGGGGACTTGCTCCCAGTTAGATTCAGAGGTCCTTTAGACATAGTAGAACAAAGACTCAGAAAGTACGTTCACCATCACCCACCCCAAAAATCTCTCCTGAGTCAGAGCCATGGCCACCTTCTTGCTATCAATAAGCCCTCAGATACCTCCTCAAAGAACAATGCCTACTTCTTTGGCCATTGGTCTGAGGCCTCTTCTTTCCCCATGCTTCATGCTCTCCCTGAGGGAACAACTCTAATCTACAGGTTCAAACATCCCTAATACAATGACTCCCAAACCTCTCTGTTCAGTCCTTATCTTTCTCATGGACTCCAAGCCTATATGAGCAAGTGCCTACCAACATCTTATTAGTTTTCAGGGAAATGCAAATTAAAACCAATATAATATACCACTGTATACCTCTTAGAAGTATACAATTTGATAAGTTTTGACAAATGTTGACATCTATGAAATCATTACCGCAATCAAGATGATGAACCCCAGAAGTTAACTTATTCCATTTGTAATCTCTCGTTCCCACCCCTGTCTTGTGACTACCATCATCCCAAGGCAATTATATAAATGGAATCATACAGAATATACTCATTCTGGGGGGAGATGAGGGACTGATTTCTTTCACATAGCAAAGTTATTTTGATATTCATACATGTTTAGCACGTATCAGAAATTCATTCCCTTTTCATTGCTGAGTAGTATTCCACTATATGGAGATACCACAGCGTGTTTATCCATTCACTTGTGGATTGGCATTTGATTTATTCCCAGTTTTTGGCTATTACAAATAAAGCTTCTATGAACATTACAAGTCTTCGAATATATTGTGTTTCCGTTTTTCTTGGGTAAATAGCTATGAGTGGAATGACTAGATCATATAGGTCATGTAGTAAGTCATACTTTTTAAGAAACTGTCAAACTGTTTTCCAAAGTGATTGTTCCATTTTAGATTACCACCATCAGCATATGAGAATTCTAGTTTCTCTATACCCTTGACAACACATGGTTAGTCGTTTTAATTTTGGCCACACTAAGAGGTGTGTAGTGGTATCTTATTATGGTATCTTAATGACTAACCATACTGAGCATATTTTCATGTGCTTATTTGCTATCCCTATGCCTTCTTTGGTCTGTTCAAATCATTTGCTTATTTTAAAAAATTGGTTTCTTTGTTTTCTTCTTATTGAGTGTTGAGAGTTCTTTATATAATCTAGATATAAGTCCTTTATCAGATGTGTGAATTGCAAATAGTTTCTCCCAGTCTGTAGCTTGTATTTTCATTCTATCAGTGGTTTATTTTGAAGAGCTGACATTTAAAATTTGATGAAATCCAATTTATTCATTTTTTTCTTTTATGGATCATGCTTATGATGTCATATAAGAAATCTTTGCCTGATCTAAAGTTACTTAGATTTTCTCCTATGTTTTTTCTAGAAGTTTTATAGTCTTAGGATGTTTTCCACTTAAGTCTATGATACATTTTGAGTTAATGTTTTTGCATATCATGTGAGGTGTGGATTTAAGTTCTTTTTTTTTTTTGCTTTTGGATATCCATTTATTCCAGCACTATTTGTCACAAAAACCTGTCCTTTGCCCTAAATTGCTTTTGCACTTTTGTCAAAAATCAATTGGCTACATTGGTCTGGGTCTATTTTTGGACTCTGTATTCTGTTCCATTGATCTACAATGTGCAAAGTTTCCAATTTCTCCACATCCTGGCCAACACTTGTTATTTTCTGTTTTTTGGTTAATTATTATAGCCATCTTAGTAGGTATGAAGTAGTCTGTAATTGTTGTCTTGATTTGCATTTCCCTAAAGTCTAATGACGTTGAGTATCTGGCTGGGCCAGAACATTGTGTCTTACATCAGGGTTCCCTCTTCTATTTTCACAAAGTGATTAAATATATGTACCCTCAGTACATCCTCATTCTTTCTAACTTGGCTTCTTCCCTCCACTTTTGTCTGTAGCCACTATTTCCTAGCTCCTGATGCTTCTGTCCTTCTCACTGGAGTCTTTCTGCGGGCAGTCCACCTTCATGTGGGGCTCTATCCTGGGCGGGTACTTAGATATTTAATACAGTGAGTTCATGGGCCCTGACAACGCCCACATTTCTGACCTCACTAATGTCTGGTTATTCTCACCTGTGAATCAAGGCCTTCGGCACCTTGCTCAGATTCAGCTGTCATTTCAGCTTCGATTTCCCACATCTGCTGGCAATTTTGGGTTCTTCTGTTCTTGGGCCTTCACATCCTATTGCCTTCCTTCTGCTTCCTCTCACTCAGATATTGATATCAAGTGGGTCTTCTCACCTACATTTGTTGTAGGTGTTGTCTGTGGGTTTTTGGTTTTGCCATGTTAGTTGGTCTCTCTGCTTCCATGGCAGGGGGAATACAGGTAAATTAAAAAGTTATGCTGCTGAAACTTCTATCTTTACAGCAATTATTCCTTTTATATTGTCCTTTCCTGCCAGTCTTTCACCACTCAGATTCACAGCAATACTGACCAGCCCCAGCCAGCCATCTCCCATCCTTTGAGTGAGGAATGTCCTTCTTTCCCTCCTTATCTCCATCTTACAAACTCCTGCTTATGTTTCATGGCCTTGCTAAATGTCCCCACCTCCAGGAAGACTTCCCTGATACCCAGACCCCAGGTGAGGTCAGTGGCTTCCTCTTGTCCCCACAGCCGGTTGAATATGCCTCTCATACAGTACATATCACACACTTACTTTCCTCCCGAACTTCTCTATGGGACTGTAAGCATCTCAAAGTGAGAACCTTGTTCATTTCCCCTGTGTCCTTAGTGCCTGGCCCGGAACCCAGCTCAAAGCAGACACTTAGTAAAGGTCACCTTGCATGATTAGATTTTCCTGGATGCTGCTTGGCCATCTCAGTGCTCATCAGTGGTGGAATTATTATCATTGCCTTATGTATAAGGTACACGATAGTTTACAAGAGGTCTTGCACACAGCACATAGCCGCTCTTTGTGTTGCTGTGGTGCATGTGCAGGGCTTCACACTCATGGATTTCTGTTTGTTCATTTGTTTGCTGGTTTTTGTGGTCTGTCTCCACCCATCATGCTGTGAGCCAATCAAGTGTAAGGACCAAGGCTTCTTCATCTCAGTAGTTAGCCAGTGCTGGCATGGAGGAGGTACTGGGCAGGGTCTTTTACATCAAAGACATTCCTGCGTTCCTCCTTGTGCTAAACTGGGACTCATCCACTCATCTCCTTGAGTGGGTCCTAAGGTTCATGACTACGAGTCAGCATGAAGCCCCATAGCTTCCCTGGGACTCCCCAGAGCCCGTGAGAAGAGGACCTCACAGCATCTCCAGCCCTCTCTCTCCCAGCCTTTGTGCTTCTGATCGGAGGCATCGAAGTCGGCCTGTCCCACTTCCCCTTCTTTGCCTGCCTTTCTTCGGAGTTCCAGCTGGTCAGCTCCATCCTCGGCTTCAGCTACTCTCTGATCTGGTAAGATGGACTCATCCTGCCTGCCCTCCTGTGACTCCTTGGCCATGGCTGAACTCTGGACAAAGGGCTGCGGGTGACCTGAGAGCTCTTCTTTGAGGGTACTTTTGCCTAGAACTGAGGCCCAGGGTAGGTGGGCAGAGTGACTGGTACAAGGTCCCACTGCGGTCCCTCCTTGGGATGCACTTGAGGCTTCAGAAGGTCAGGCCAGCATTCTGTCAGGTTCACAGGAAGCTACTCATGATTAGAATATACCCAGAAGTCAGGAACATAGAAAAATTCATTTCTGTAAACTGCTGGGGTCTTTTGGGGGAAGGAAGAGTCCCATTTAGATGCTTCTTCTCTGTGCTACCATGGCTTCCCTGGGAGCCCAGGAGAAACTGTGAGTGCCTCAGCTTGGCGTTCAGGGCCACCGCAGTCTGGCCTCTCCCTGTCTCTCTCTAACAGTCTGTAGCACACATACAGGTCATACGGAACTCTTACATTCCTTCATCCATCCGTGTACTCATTCAGTATTCATTCAGTAAACGTGCTATGCCATACCCACTATAAGCCAGGGGATAAACTGGAAAATAAGACAGGCCCTCGTAGATGATGCATTCTGGCCTCTTTGTCTGTATGTTGCTGCTCCCTGTGTGGATCATCTTCCCCCATGTGCCCAGTGACGGATACTTGCTCATCCTTGGTGGATCATCGTCCCCACAGGTGGGAGGGCTGATCCTCCTGTTGAGCTCTGCCCTCAGTGCTGGCACCAGACCCAGCACAGAGCTGGCCCCAGGGCATATTTGCTGACTGCATAATCCCACCAACAATTCTGCTCTCCAGCCCCAAGGCTCATTTCCCTGTCCACATTCCCCTCACTGGGCCGGCTTCTCCCACAGCATTTTCTGTGGGGCAGGGTCCCAGGCCCAGCGTGTGGGCCACTGCACGGGGCTCACAAGCACCTGACACACCAATGGCTACATTTCCAAAGTTTGTAAGTGGTTCGCTTTTTAAAAATAAAAGAGGGTATTCAGGGTTAGATGTGGAGTAGTATCATCTTATCAGCCTCTGACAGACATTCTGACCAGGAGAGGAAAGGGAGGTGGGAATCGTTCACCAGTTTGGGCACCTTGAGAGTGTGACCCAAGCTTGAACATGGCCAGGAAAGTGTGTCCAGCGGGGGTCAAGCCTTGAGGCCCATTCCTCAGGGCAGTGTTTTCACACAAGGCCATGTCCAGGCAGAAAGAGCCTCGGCCCCAGAGTCAGGAGACCTGGGTCTTGGTCCTGGCTCTGGGTGTGACTCTGGACAAGTCCCTTCCCCTCCCTGGGCTTCAGTCTCTCCATCCGAGTGATGGGTTGTGGGGGAGGAGAGATCTCTCAGGGTCTGTCCGCTCTGCCGTGTGGATTCTGGGATTGTATCCTAAGTGAGGGCATGTTAAATGAATTCAGTGTGCACCTACTTTGGCACAAGCAGGGTGCCTGATGTGGGTGGGATGTATGCGCAGGCCTGGGAACCATCCCTCCCAAGGAGGATGGGGATGGGAGGTAGCTCCAGGCTGATGGGATCTGGGCTGCTTTCACAAGGACTGTGCCGGGAGGGACCCCAGTGCCCCAAGTCCTGTTTCTGTCGTGCAGGTTTGCCGTCACTGTCCATCACATCACACAGTGTCCCCACGGGCAGGTGAGTCCTCGTTGAGCTATGTTTAGGGTATTCAGTCCTATCACCATGGCCAACTTGCTGTGTCACCTTGCACAAGCCTCTACCACTCTCTGGGCCTCAGCTTCCCCATGTGTACAAAAGGAGAGTTGGAGCTATTCATGCTGCTTCCACTGTACAGCATCTTATGTTTATCAAGGTGCTCATTCACAGATGGATGTTCTCTCATTTGATGCTCACAGCAGCCCCTCACTGTGGAGAAGCTCTCAGCAAACCTATTTATAGGTGAGGAAACTGAGGCCCAAGTATGTTAAGTAACTCTTCAGAAGCAGCAGATTTGGGAGTTGAAAGCAGGTTTGGCTGACTCCCAAGCTCATTTCTTTCTACTCCTCCATGTAGCCTTAGTTTCTCTGGAGACTCGGACTAGATGAACCCTTTACAGCTTTGCCATGCATTGTTCTTCTCAGAACTGGGGGAAACTAGTTCATCTATTTAGCCCAGTACCCCAGGAAAAGGAGAAAGGAGAAAGATGGTGTCACACTGCGCCTAGAAAGGTTACCAGGCAGCTGGGAGAGCAGGGAGGCTGCCTGCGCCAGGAGCCCGCGGAGCCTTGCTGGAGCCTCTCCCACCCTGTGGTAACTGAGGAACATCAAAGCGGGTGAGGAAGAGTGTGGGGAGCCGGGTTGAAAATGCAGCTGAGAGGCGGGCCTTCCCTCCGCACCTCTGCACTGGGATGGAGAGCGTTTTGGCAGACATCTGCCCAGAAAGATGCCCTCCTTCACACTGCTCACAGCGCCCAGGATTCCACACCACAGGGATTTTCTTCAGAGTCTCAGAAAGCTTCAGTCTTCCAGAGGCTCTTTTGAAATATTCATGGTTAATTGGGGGAGAGGGCAGGGTCTTACTTCTATGTTCAGAATCACTAACACTAAGAACTGCTGTGTGCTAGGCATTGTTCTAGGCTCAGTCCCAAAAGTTAACTGTTGAGTCCTCAAGACACATTGAAGAAAGTGTGTCAGTGCCATCCCTCGTTCACTGAGAAGAAAGAGAGGCTCAGGGGCTAACATGACTTACCAGTTAAAAATCAGGGAACCAGAATCCAGACTAAGGAAATAATAAAGATTTGGCCTCATGTTTTCAAGGAAACTATTTATAAAAAGAGACATTGGAAAGAATCTAAAGTGTCATATATTAGAAGGAAGTTTAAGTAGAGTGTGATTCATCTAAATAATGCATTATTATGGAGCATTAAAAGTGATATTTGCAAATAATTTTTAACCATGTGGGGAAATGATTATGTTATCTACAGACCAATATATTTGGTACAATCTCAGTTTATAACATATGAATATGGATATAGGTAAAGATGAAAGACACTGAAGTATTGACAGTGGTTATGTCTATAAGTATATGTTGGAGAGGAGGATGAAAGGAAGACATGAGCCCCCCAATTCTCAGCATGTCTCCATCCTGCACCCTGACATCCCAACATCAAACCCTGATTTCCCATGGGGGGAAATACTTTGGAAACATAATAAAACATGAAACCAACTAGTAAATTGTGAAAGATAAACCACAATGTTATTAGCCTTAAAATAGTGAAAAAACTTTTTTTCTTCAAAATGAAACTGAAAACACAGAAAAACTATGAGCATCATCTTGAGAGACCTGTTACATGTGGGAGCTTGTGCTGCTCTCAACATGATGGCAGTTACAGGCCCTTCCTTTCCTCCCTTCCTCTCTCCCTCCTTACTTCCTCTCTCCTTTCTTTTATCTCTGATTCTCCCTCTATTTCTCTCTCCCTTTTTCCCCTTTCTTCTCCTGCCTCACCTTTCTCTCACTCTTTCAGCCTCCCTCTGTCTCTCATGTGTATTTTCCAAAAGAAGTATTTAATGCCTAATGAGAAAAAAAGCCATGGAAGCCCTTTGTATAAAATAAAATGGGTGTGCTGAGACTCAAATCCAGGGCTGCCAGACTCAAGCCCACTGCTCCTTCAGTGATGGGGGGCTGGGGGCAGGGATCCACGCTCTGGGAGATCCAAGCTCCGGGCCTTGGTGAGAGTAGGCTGGGGCAGGCAGATTCTTGTCCACAGCTTCACCAGGGTTCTGGCCCTACCCTGCCTAGAGCCCACGCCCATGGTCTGCTTCTGTTGCAGTTTGTGGGGAGGTACGAGACCATCATGTTCTACTGGCCGTCACTGCTGTGCCTGGCCTTCCTGCTGGGCCGCTTCCTACACATGTTTGTCAAGTCTCTGAGGGTCTACCTGGGCTGGGAGCTCCCGACGGTGAGTACTACATACAAGCACTGTGTGTGTCCTGACAGTTGTGGTCTTCACAACAGTGCTGTGAAGTAGCTGCTATTATTACATCTTCCATTCAGCATTAGGAAACTTGGACCCAGAGAGGTGAGTTGCATTGCCCAGGGTCACCCTGCTAGTCTGTAGTAGAGCCAGAATAGGAACCCAGACAGTGGCTGTTGAGGCTCTCTCAACACTCAGTGTTCTTTTGCTAATTCCGTCAGGTATAAAGTTAGGTTGTTTATTTGAGATCTTTCTTTTTTCTAATGTAGGTATTTACTGCTATAAACTTCCCTCTTACATATTGGCGACGTGTAAGATTTCATCTCATAGCATATAAAATTTACATATTTAATATACATAGCAAAATAGATGACTAGAAAGCTTATTACACTTGGATAAAACATTTCAAAACATACCATTGACATTTATTTCTTTAAATACTGCAAAATAAGAAATGAGCAAAAGAAACTCCTATTCATAAGAGGTAAAAACAGTGGGATTTGGGGTGTTTCATTCCTAAAAGAATGTTTTGAACTATGATGGGAAATCACCAAATCTCAAAGGGAAAAAGACTTCACAGAACAATGGCTGGTGCGGTCAGTAAGCAGAAGAGTCATGGAAGGCCAGACCCCTGGCGTTTCATGAAAGCAAGTGCTTGCTAAACAGGAGGCTGGGCCCTGCCCCTCTCTTGAAGAAATGACAGATGTCTGGGAGTGGCTCAGTGTTACCCAAATTCCTGCCCTCTGTGGTAAAAGCCCCTCAAAGAGACCAAAACCCTAACAAGAATTTGTGAGCCGAAGCATAAACCTCTCTCTTTTCTCACAGGAAGAAAAGCCTTTCCTGGAAGTTCACCAGGCAAAGCATGTCAAGAAGCTCCTGAGAAAGTCCCCCAGGCAGTAAGCCACGGATGGTCCATTCGCCCCTCAGTGTGTGCGGCAATACTGATGGGCCCTGACGGCGGGAGAGACCCTGGGATGACGAGAAGGGCGCTTGTTTGCTCATAACAGAAACTCAGCTCAAACTGGATGAAAGAGGAAAAGGAAATTTAGGGCCTTACAGAACCTAAAAGTGTAGATGTAGTCAGTTTCGGACACAGGTGGATCCAGGGGCTTAATTGCCATCATCAGAACTAGATCTCTTGGCCTCACCTCTTCTCGGCTCTGCTTTTATCTGTGCTAGCCTCGTAGTTAGTGGGGCTTCCTTCCCGTGGTGTCCCCCACAATCTCAATTTATACCCTCCTGGTTTAAGCTCACAGGAAAGAGAAATTTTCCTTTCTAAGAATTCAAACAAAAGTCCCATGAGTGTGTTTCACTGGATCAAATTGGACTACATGCCATCCCAGAACCAATTCCTGTGGCTGGGTGATTGGAGAAAACTGATTGTTAAGCGTGGGTCACATGTTCACCACTGGAACCAGGAAGTGGTTCAGCCTCACTGAACCACAGGACTGCTGGTGGGGAGAAGTAGATTCCCAGAGAAAAACCCATATGTCATTACCAGTAAAAGAGGACATAGCTCATGGCCAGGCAAAGGCACCTGGTCTTCAGTGATCATACAGGTCACCCCACCCCTGCCACTGGCACTATGTGCAAGGGGATGTGCCCCAGAGAAGGGACGTGTCTAGTCCAAGGTCACACAGTGCCAAAGCGCGTGCTTTGGTTAGAACTACATTTGGCTACACATAGCAGAAAATGTAAAATAGTGGCACAAACAAGAGAGAGATTTATTTCTTTCTCATGTAAAAGAATTCCGGAGGTGAGCAGTGTGTACTGACCCTGGACTGCTCCCCATGGCAGTTTACCAATCATCTGTCTTTCTGCTCCAGTATCTTATTGGTCTCCATTTATGAAGGCAGTCCATGGTCACAGATGGATAGATGCTGGGGCTCCAGCCTGGACCAGCCACCATGTCTGCATTTCAGAGGACAGGCAGGAGAAAAGGACCGGCAATGGTGTCCCTTGCAGCTGTGTCACTTCCATCTAAGCACCCTCCCCGAAGTCTCACACCACACCTCTGGTCACAGCTAATTGGCCTGTACTTCTTAGTCTTGGTCACTCTTAGCTGTAAGAGAGGTCAGGAACTACAGCCTTTTAGTTTGGTAAATTGCTGTACTGAATAAACCTGAGTCTCTGTCCTTAAGAATAAGGGGAGAAGGAAAACTGTGGAATCTCCCAGTGTTCTTTCTCTTCACTAAACTGTAAGATGAAGAGGAGGAGAAGAGGTTATTTTCAGAAAAATCAGGTGTTTGTTTACCTGTTTTTTCTTGGCGTTTATTCATTCACAGGGAGAAAAAAAAGTCTTGGTTCCAAACCAGGATATATGAGTGGGACCCCTGCTTTCATTTCCCAAGCCGAATGATTGGAACCACTGTGTTGGCTTTTATCTGCCTGTACCTTGTAAGTAGATCTGAGTAAATCCTTTTCTGTTTTACAAATGGGGTGGGGCTAGGGCAGGCATTGTCCTTAAAAAGCTGGGTCAAAATTGCATCCATGTAAATCAAAGAAGTACAATTCTTTGACTCCAAGTACACTTTAACTCATGTGGCAAAGGTAACTAATAAATATAATTGAATTATTTATGGAGACTTCCAGTTGCCAATTACACACATAAAGAGCTTTCAAGACACCACTCCATCCTAACAACAGGTAAAACTCTGAGCTGAAAAATCAACAACTCTTCCTAGATCTGTCAGAGAAATGAGGTCATGGGACAAACCATTTCCCCTAAAATTGGAGAGACAGGTGGATATAGAGAGTCACAACAGAATGGAGTAGAAACCCCATCGAAACTAGTGCTGAGGTAGGAAAATCTGAACTGTAATCGATACCATCAATCAATTGGATATTTTGGACATCTATAGACTACTTCATCAACAACAGCAGAATACACATTCTTCTCAAGATTACAAGGAAAATTCACCAAGATAGACCACATCCTAGACCATAAAACACCCCTTAACAAATTTAAAAGAATAGAAATCATCCATTGTCTCCTCTCAGACCACAATGGAATTAAACTAGAAATCAATAACAAAAAGATAACTGGAGAATCCCAAAATAGTGGAAATTAAACAACACACTTTTAAGTAAAATGTAGGTCAAAGGAAAAATCTCAAGAAAAATTAAAAATAAATGAAATTGAAAACATCTTATCAAATTTGTGGGAGGCAGCAAAAGCAGTGCTTAGAGGGAAATTTACAGCATTGAATTTATGTATTAGAAATGGAGAAATATGTGAAATCAATCATCTAAGCTTCCACCTTAGGAAACCTTTAGGAAACTAAAAAGAGAACAGCAATTTAAATGCAAAGCAACCAGAAAAATAGATATAATAAAAATTAGAGCAGAAACCTATGAAATTTAAAAGAGGAAATCAATAGGGAAAATCAATGAAACCACAAGCTGGTTCTTTAAAAAGAATCAATAAAGTCAATAAGCTTTTGCCAGAATAAGTAAGAAAAAAGGAGAGGGGACACAAATTACTCATGTCAGAAAAGAAGGAGGGAACATCACTACAGATTCCATGAGCATTAAAAGAATAATAAAGGAATAATATTAACATCTCTGTGCCCACAAATTTGATGACCTAGATGAAATAGACCAATTCCTTGAAAGACACAATCTGCCACAAATCACACAAGAAGAACTAGACAATCTGAATGGGCCTATCTATTAAATAAATTAGTAAGTAATGACCTTAAAACAGAAAGCACCAGGCCCAGATGGGTTCACTAGTGAGTTCTATGAAACATTTATGGAAGAAATTGTACTAATTATCTACAATCTCTTTCAGGAGATAAGTGCAGAGAGAATATTTCCTAACTCATTCTATGAGGCCAGCATCATCCTAATACCAAAACCAGACAAAGACATTACAAGAAAAGGAAATTACATCCCAGTATCTCTCATGAGCATAGATGCAAAAGTCCTAAACAAAATATTAGCAAATCAAATCCAACAATGTATAAAAAGAATTATACACCACAGCCAAGTGGGATTTATCCCCAATATGCAAAGCTGGCACAATATTAAAAAAAATCAGTTAATGTAATTAACCACAGCAATGGGCTAAAGAAGAGAAATCACAAGATTATATCAATAGATGCAGAAAGAACATTTAACAAAATCCAACACCAATTTATCATAAAAATTTTCGGTAACCTAGAAATAAAGGAGAACTTCCTCAATCTGATAAAAATATGCAGCTAACATCATACTTTATAGTAAGAAATAAGAATCTTTGCCACTAACACCAGGAATAAGGCAAAGATGCTCCCTCTCACCACTCTTTTTCAACAGTTACTGGAAATCCTAGCTAATGAAATAAGACAAGGAAAGGAAATAAAAGGTATGCTGATTGGGAAGTAAAAATGTCTTTGTTCACAGATGACATGATTGTGTATGTAGAAAATAAAAAAAATCAACAAAAGAAACTCCTGGAACTAATAAGCAATTATAGCAAGTTTGTAGGGTACAAGGTTAACATACAAAAGTCAATTGGTTTTCTGTATATCAGCAATGAACAAGTGGAATTTGGAATTAAAAACACAATACCATTTACATTAGCACTACCCCAAAAGAAATAATTAGGTGTAAATCTAACAAAATATGTACAAGATATATGTGAAGAAAACTACAAAACTCTACTGAAAGAAATCAAAGAAGCACTAAATAAATGGAGAGATATACTATATTCATGGATAGGAAGAGTCAATATTGTCAAGATATCAGTTCTTCCCAACTTGATTACATATATTGGGATTGATCTATATTTGGATACAGTGCAATTCCAATCAAAATCCCAGGAAGTTATTTTGTGGATATTGGCAAACTGGTTCTAACGTTTGTATAGAGAGGCAAAAGATTCATAATAGCCAACACAATATTAAAGGGGAAGGAGAAATTGCAGGACTGACACTACTTGATTTCAAGATTTACTATAAAGCTACACTAATCAAGACAGTGTCGTGTTGACAAAAAAATTGACAAATGAGTCCATGGAACAGAACAGTGAGCCAAGAAATACACCAACATAAACATAATCAATTTAGTTTTGACAAAGGAGCAAAGGCAATACAGTGGAGCAAAGATTTTCTTTTTAACAAATGGTGCTGGAACTATACATCCACATTCAAAAAAAAAATGAATCTAGACACAGACCTTGAACCTTTTATAAATATTAACTTAAAATCGATCACAGACCTAAATGTCAAATGAAAAACTATAAAACTCCTGGAAGATACCATAAGAGAAAATCTAGATGACCTTGGGTTTGGTAATGACTTTTTAGATACGACACAAAAGACACAATACATGAAAGAAAGAATCGACAAGCTGGGCTTCATTAAAATAAAAAATTTCTGCCTGTGAAAGACACTGTCAGGGGAACGAAAAGACAAGCCACACCTTGGGAGAAAATATTTGCAAAAGAAACATCTAATAAAGACTGCTACTCAAAATATACAAAGAAATCTTAAAATTCAACAATAAGGAAACAAACAACCTGATTGAAAAATGGACCATAGACCTTAATAGATACTTCAAAAAGAAGATATACAGATGGCAAATAAGCATATTAAAAGATGCTCTACAGCATATTTCATCAGGGAAGTGCAAATTAAAACAACAATGAGATACTACTACATATCTATTAGAAAGGCCAAAATTCAGAACACTGACAACACCAAATGCTGACAAGGTTGTGGAGCAACAAGAACTCTCATTCATTGCTGGTGGAGGTACAAAATGGTACAGCCAAATGGAATGCATTTGGACAGTTTGGTGGGTTCTTACAAAACTAAACATATTCTTACCATATGATCCAACAATCATCCCTTTTGGTATTTACCAAAATGCATTGAAAATTTCTGTCCACATAAAAACCTACATATAGATGTTTATAGCAGCTTTATACATAACTGCCAAAATGTGGAAGTGACCTTCAGTAGGTGAATGGATAAATAAATTGTGGTACATCCAGACAATGTAATACAATTCAGTGCTAAAAAGAAATGACCTATCAAGTCATGAAAAGACATGGAGGAAACTTAAATGCATATTACTAAGTGAAAAATGCGAATCTGAAAAGGCTACATATGATATGATTCCAACTACATGACATTTTGAAAAAGGCAAAATTATGGAAATAGTAAAAGATCAGTGGTTGCCAAGGGTTAGGGAGAGGGAGGGATGAAGAGGCGGAGCACAGAGGATTTTTAGGGCAGTGGAAATACTTTGTATGATACTATTATAGTGAATACATGTCATTAGATGTTTGCCCAAATCCATAGAATGTACAACACCAAGAGTGAACCCTGATGGTGAGTAATGGACTTCGGGTGATAATGATGTTTCATTATAGGTGGATTAATTGCAACATATGTACCTCTCTAGTGGGGGATGTTGATAATGCAGGATGCTATACAAGTGTGGGGGCAATTAGGACTATGGAATGTCTCTGTACCTTCCTCTGAGTTTTGCTTTGAATCTAAACCCCTCTTAAAAAATAAAATCTTTAATAAGAAAAGTAATCCACAGAAAATCAAACTGATAACGGTTAAACCTGCTCATGGTAAAATTTATCACTGACTAAAAATTGATGGGAGAGAAATATATTTGAAAACATTTTGATATGCAAAATTTGGCCCCAGAAAGTTGACTTGGTAGAAATAATGATACCTAAAGAAGACTTACAATAGCAGAATCCGTAGTCAGCAAACTATGCTGTGAACAAGAATCACTTCATTTAAATATAAAATAATTGATCCTGATGAATAATTTCACTGAATTAAAAATAAAAGTGGATAAATTAGAATTGGTTTACTGTACTATATTTAAAAAAATGGCTCAAAAGTTAAAATGCTTTATTTCATTTTGCTCTTATTTAAGTGTGCTTTCTCAACAAGATATTTTAAATGTTGGCATAATTCTGACTTGATTATTTTATTAAGCACAGAATCAAAACATTTCATGTGGTCCAAGTTATCTGAGCTAAAATGATTGAGTCAAAATGGAGGGATAAAAATAGCAAGGCCAAATTGTAATCTGCTCGTTTTAAATGTTCTAGGATGATGTTTGTATAAATTAATCCGGTGATTAAGTTTTAAGTGAATGTATTAGTTAGGTTATCCTGGAGTACCACATAAACGCCCAAATTTCAATGACTTAACACTATATATATTTTTGCCCACATAGCAATGTTGAGTGGTGTTCAGGTTTGGGAAGCAGCAGTTCTCCGTGTTATTCCATAACCCAGATTCTTCCATCATGTGCCTTCATTATCCCTGAGAACCCTCACCATCTGCAACCAGTCAGCAGAAGGGGAAAGTGCGTGGAGAAATGCATGTGGGAGGTTTTCAAAGGCCATGTGGAAGCAGCACACATTCCTCCCACTCACTCCTCGTCCATTGGCAAGAACCTGTCAGGTGGCCACATCTAACTCAAGGGAGGCTGGGAAATGTGGTCCAGCTTTGTGCCCAAAGAAGGGAGAATGGATTTTAATGGACAACTAGAGTTCTTTGCAACACTAAGCGACTCACTTGGAGTTCTTGTGTTTTCTTAAATTTTTTCTTTTGGAGGAAGATTAGTCCTGAGCTAACATCTGCTGCCAATCCTCCTCTTTTTGCTGAGGAACACTGGCCCTGAGCTAACATCCGTGCCCATCTTCCTCTACTTTATATGTGGGACACCTGCCACAGCACGGCTTGCCAAGCGGTGCCATGTCCACACCCAGAATCTGAACTGGTGAACTCTGGGCCGCTGAAGAGGAACATGCGAACTTAACTGCTGTGCCTCCAGGCCAGCCCCTTAAATTTTTATTGGTTCTCTACTCTGTGGCAAGCACTATGCCAAGACCTGGAAGAGAGAGTCCTGGCCTGGGAAGAGCCCATGGTCTAAGAGAAGGAGCTCAGATATGGTATAAAGTACCTGCCACCTAAAGAGAGAAAAAGGAAAAGTGAAAGTGCTCCAGAAGTTTAGTGATTATTCCAGATTGAGAAGCCGCCTGAAGATGATAGCATTTGAGCTCCACACTCAGACATAAACAAGATTCAGTTGGTGAAGTAAAATGGCAGCAGCAACTCTAGAAGCAGTGGCATGATGATAGGAGGCATGATGGCATGGTGACAGGATGGTGGGAGTGAGCAAGCATGATATGTGTACAGGAAGCAGAACCTTCTCCAACTTGGTTACCACCAAGATGCAAGAAGGGGAGCCGTGAGAGAGATGGCTGGAACTGTCCCCAAGGTCACCCCTTATTCAAAGTCAGCCATTCATTTCACTCTGATTTCATTAATGTTTGAAAAGTCCTTGAGCCCTTGTGGGGCCTGACCTTGTATGCTATAGGGTGAAGAACAGAGCGTGGGGTAACTCCTGTCTCCAAAGAAGTCACAATCCCGTTCATCTCGGTATAGCCAATCTGAAGTCTCTTTCAAGATGAGTTTCGAACTTCAGTGAGCTTTGGCCTTAAAACCAGAGAGACCCATGTTATTCATGTACTGAGCTGGACTCAGGTGAGACCTTGAAACATTTACTCTGTGTCCCCAGTTCACTGCCATTGAGTTCTGCGTGTTCGTGTATGTGAGAGATGAGCTAGACCTGTTTGAGGGAGAGTTGGAGAGTTACATCACCTCCGTGAACCAGACGGGGACCCTGACCCCAGTCATCCTGCAGGTGAAAGAGCTGATGAACGTCACCAAAGGTAAAACCATCCCGCCACCTTTGTTCCTGCCACCTGTGTGGGAAACAGAGGGACTTGTAACTGCTGGCAGGTGCACACCTGTATGATTATTGCTGCTAGTATTGATATTACCTGCATGAGGTGACTGGTCTGGGAGAAAAATGTGTTACGACTGACAAATGCCTGCCTGCGTTGACCAGAAGGTGAGTGGGGTCAGGACACAGGCCATGTTGTTAAAACCCATTTGGGGCTGAATTGAATAAGCCCTGAGAATTTTCTCACCTAAATAGCTTATTTTGTTTCAATGCCAGTGGGAACAACTAAAATCATCATATATCTTTCACTTTGGAAAAAAATAAAACACCAATTCTTGAGTTTTCTTTAAGATTATGTGAAAAGTTTATTTATGTCTTTCAAATTTTAAGTTAAGGCTGCTGTAACAAATTACCATAGGCTGAGTGGTGTAAAGAACAAACATGTATTTCTCAGAGTTCAGGATCCAGGTGCCGGCAGATCTGGTGTGTGGAGAGGGCCTGCTTCCTGCTTTGACCATCTTCTCTTCGTATCCTCACATGCTGGAGAACAAGGAGAGGAAGCAAGCTCTCTCGTGTCTCTTCCTATAAGGCACTAATCCCCTCATGAGGGCTCCATCCTCATGACCTAATTACCTCCCGAAGGCCCCATCTCCAAGCACCACCACGTTGGGGATTAGGGTTTCAACATATGAACATCAGGGGGACACAAACATCCCATCCATAGCAGCCACTTCACCTTTCTTTGAAGATGACATATTCTACTTATATGTCCCTTGCCCATGGAGGAGGGAGAGTTCTTCACTATTCCCTGATGAAAAAGGACCCTGGACAAGATGTCAGGATAAACTCACTCTGTGTCATTGGACAAGTCAGGTCCCCTCTCTTGGCCTCAGTTTCCTCATATTTAAAACGGGGTTTGGATAGGGGTGCTAGATGGTTTCCAAAAGCCTTTGAGGTCTAATATTTGATGGCTGTGAATTACCAAATGTTCCTTAAGCCATGAAACAAGTGATGCAAATGGTATTTTTACTTAAGATTCATAAGCTAGTAGAACATCAAAACCAGAGGGGAATAGATCTTCTATGAAGGATGTGAGGAAAATTCTCTTACATATATGTGACATGGAATACCTTTTACATGCACACAGGCAGGTACTGCTTCTCCTGTGTTACCATACTTTGTTGCCATTAAGCATTTTTATTCATCTTTAATGTAGATTTATGTTCAGCCTGATGAGTCCTTGAGTATAATACTCAGCAAGCATATTCTACGATTTCAATACCACTATTCCAAGTCATACTTTTAAAATTCACATTTCCATCCCTGTTCTGGGCAAGTTTAACACAAACCTCAGTTTCTTGGTCTGGATTTCTTGGTCTTGAATTGTAGTGAATATATCACCATATTCACTCATGTTTTATTCCCTCTTTGATATATTTCTCATATGTTTCAGCCCTTTGAGGATCAAAACATAAAATTTTCACCCTATGTCGATCTCTTCCAGCTTTAAAAAGCTACCCTTTTGCCAAGAAAGACTTTTATGCTGAAGATGCTTCCCCCTGGGGAAGATGAAGGCATTAAATTAAAGGTGTGCAGTCATGTTCTTGCTGCTTGCTGGAGCAAGTCCTCACTCACTCTTCTGTGGCCAGACTCCTCCCATCCTTCCCTTCTAAGGATGTCTCCCTTGCATCCCCAGGCAGGAGATTCATGGCTGTCTACCAGCATCCTTTGTGTTGGTTGAGGTTTGGGATAAAGCAATTATCCTGGTGATGCTGAGACAAAGACACAACTGAAACTTGAAAGGAATGGAAATCAGCATCTTTTTCCTTCTTTTTGAAACACCTTTATGAAAACATAATTCACATACCATACAATTCACCCATTTAAAGTGTACTATTCATTGGGTTTTATTACATTCTCAAGGCTGTGCAGCTATCACCACAATCAAATCTAGAACATTTTCATCACCCTAGAAAGAAATCACAACCATGTGCAATGACTCCTCATTTATCCTTCACTCTCCCAGCCCTAGATAACCATTAATTTCTGGCTTCACGGATTTGCCTATTCTGGACATTTTATATAAATGGAATCATACAATATGTAGTCTGTTCTGCTTGGTTTCTTTCACATAGCAAAATGTTTGCAAGGTTCATCTATGTCATAGCATGTGTCCGACGTTCATTCTTTTTTATTGATGAATTTTATTCTGTTGTATGAATATACCACATTGTATTTATCCACTCATCAGTTGATTGTTTCAACTTTTTGGCTTTTATGAGCAATACTGCTACGAAAATTCATCTACAAGTTTTTCATGTTTTCATATATCTTGGGTATATACCTAGGAGTGGAATTCTGGATCATAAGGTAACTATGTTTGACCTTTCAGGGAATTGCCAGACTGTTTTCAAAAGCAGATGCATCACTGTGTATTTCTACCAGCAATGTATGAGGGGTCCAATTTCTCCATATTTTCACCAACACTTGTCGACATCTGCCTTTTTAAACATTATAGCCATCTAGTAAGTGTGACCTGGCATCTCATTGTGGTTTTGATTTGCATTTCCCTGATGGCTAATGATGTTGAGCATCTTCTCATGTACTTATTGGCCATTTGTACATCTTCCTCGAGTAATGTCTATTGAAATTCTTTGCCCATTTTAAAATTGAGTTATTTGTTGATTTATTATTGAGCTGTAAGAGTTCTTTATATATTCAATCCACAAATTCCTTTGAGAGATATAATTTGCAAATATTTTCTCCCATTCTGTGAGTTACTTTTTCACTTTTTTGTTTTTGTGAGGAAGATTGGTCCTGAGCTAACAGCTGTGGCCAACCTTCCTCTTTTTGCTTGAGGAAGATTGTCACTGAGCTAACATCTGTGCCAATCTTCCTCTATTTTATGTGGGATGCCACCACAGCGTGGTTTGACAAGCAGTACTAGGTCCAAACCTATGAACCCCGGGCTGTCAAAGCTGAGCACACAAACTTAACCACTACTCCACAGGGCCAGCCCCACTTTTTCACTTTTTTGATAGTGTCTTTTGAAACACAAATGTCTTTAATTTTGATGAAGTCCAAAATATCTATTTTTCTTTTATCACTTGTGCATATTTAAGCAAGCATGGCCTAACCTAAGGTCACAAATATTTACTCTCATATTTTCTTCTGAGATTTTTATAATTTTAGCTGTTACATTTAAGCCTATGATCCATTTTGAGTTACTTTTTGTATATGGTGTGAGGTAGGGGTCTAACTTCAATGTTTGCACATGAATATCAGTTGCCCCAGTACCATTTGTTGAAAAGCATATTCTTTCCCCATTCAATTGTCTTGTCATCATTGCTGAAAATACACTGACAATGAGGTCTTACTTCTGGATTCACAATTTATTCCATTGATCTATTTGTCTATCCTTATGGCAGTACCACACTGTCTTCCTTAGGGTAGATTTGTAGTAAGAATGAAATCAAGAAATGTGAGTCCTGTAATTTTGTTCTTCTTTTTCAAGAATGTGTTGCCTACTCTGAGTCCCTTCATTTTAATATGAATTTTAGGATTAGTTTATCAATTTATGCAAAAATGGCATTGGAACTTCATAGGGATTGGGTTGAATCTGTAGATCAATTGTATTAGGAGTATTGCCCTGTAAACAGAGAAAATCCAATAAGAAAATGGGTTGTCTTTCCATTAATTTAAGTCTTCATTAATTTCTTTCAGCAATTTTTGTAGTTTTCAGTGTACAAGTTGTATACTTCTTTTGCTAAATTTATTCTGAAGTATTTTATTCTTTTTGATACTATTGCAAATGCAATGTTTTCTTACTTCATTTTCAGATCATTCATTGCTAGTGTGCAGAAATACAAGTGATTTTTATATATTGGTCTTGTGTTCTGCAAGCTTGCTGAACTCATTAATTTTCTAAAAATTTATTCCCTATGATTTTCTATATATTCATATATATATAGTCATATATATATAGTCATATATATATATAGTCATATATATATATAGTCATATATATATATAGTCATATATATATATATATATATAGTGATGGCTTTCTTTCTTTCTTTGCAGTCAGGATGCATTTTCTTGCCTGATTGCCCTGGCTAGACCCTCCAGTACAACGCTGGGTAGAAGTGGCAAGAATGGATATTGATTTTCTTATTCCTGAACTTAGGGGGAAAACACTCTTTTGCCCTTAAGTATGATTTGCTGTGGGATTTTTGCAGATGCTTTTTATCAGGTTGAAGAAGTTGCCTTCTATTTATAGTTTATAGAGTGCTTTTAATTATAAAGAGGTGTTGGGTTCTTTCAAAGCTTTCTCTGCACCTATTGAGAACCAGCTCGTATGGAAGCTTTTACACCCACAAATCATCGCCCTTCCTTGTTTCTCCATCACTCTCTCAGAAATACACAGAATCCCTTTGAAAGCAAATTAGATATGTAGTATTCAAAACTTGCTGGAAGATGGGTGAATGGATACTCCAGCCCTCTCGATTCCAGTTATCCTTGCACGTGGTTAATGGTTAACTGGGTGTGGGTCACCACCACCCGAAAAGTGGCAGCTACAAGTTCAACTATTAATGGCTTGACAAGGATGGAGGCGACCTGTGATGTGTATACTCCATAATTTTCTCTTCCCATTACTCACTGTAGATTGAAAATATTCATACCGAAGGAGAGGATTGTATAGGAAATAAAGTATATCAAGGGTTTGTGTGCCTAAAATGAAACAGAAATATAAGCAAACCTTTATTTACACAAGGAACATGTTAAAGGAAGCATAATGTATTTTGCCCAGACCTGTCTGATGTGAGTTTCTGCAGAGAATATTGTTTCTGGTTCATCTTCTGAGGCCTCTCATACCGCTTTTTCTATTTTAGGAGTCTGGGTGGTGACCATTTTGCCTGCCTTCCTTACGTGTGTGAGCTATCTGTTCCACATTTTGGCCTGTTACAGGTAAGAGGGCTCTGGGAGTCATTTGTGTCTTCCGCCAGGAAAGCATCTGACAGACTTCCCTAAGAATTCCTGAGCAGTGCAGCAGTGGCAGCCCTGGAACCAGGAGTTTATGCAAGATCCAGGGACAACCACATCTATTGGTAGTAAGAAAAAGAAAACTATTGATTTGAGCTTCTACTATCATCTAGACGTTGTGCTAGAATCGTCTCTAGATTGTCACGATAACCCTGAGGGGTACTTTCAACTCCCTTTTTACATCTGAGACTCAACAAAATAACTTACCCAAGCAATTAGCAGCCAATCATGTCTTCTGACCCCAGAGTCCGTCATTTCTTGTCCACTCTGGCATCTCTATTGGATGTCAGACCTACCCTGCTCTTCAGAACCAATCACACTGGGCTCCCGGCAGGTGAATCTGGCTCAAGGGGACCTCACAGGACACTGGGTCCAGGGGCCCAGGTGTAGCAGGTTCAAGAACAGCAGCGCAGGAGGAGGCGATGGTCTTCAATCTGTAGCCAGCATTTGCATGCAGATAGCAGATGAATTTTAGGTATCTACTGCTCCCTTGTCTCTGTCTCTCTGCCTCTGCCTATGTCTCTGCCCCTTTGTCTTTCTGGCTCAGTCTGTAACTCATACTCACTCACAGGAAGCCCAGGGCCAATTCCCACTGCTCCAGAGCATCCTGCCTTCACATGCTCCCCATCTGGCTGCTCAAAGGGTGGGGTCTCTTGCAGATGGCATCCAAGAGAAGACTCTCCTGGCACGAAGAGGGCCCACTTCTCCATCCCCACTCTGGCTTGCTCCCTCTCTCTGCTTTCTTCTCCCTGGACCCGGTGGGTGGATCGCACTCTGCTGCTCTCCCTGCCCGATCTGACGTAGGGATGTCTGCTCCTTCATTAGGCTGCAAATGGCTGGGAGATTTTCACTGAGGCATTTGACCACAACCAGGGACAACTACTGTGCAGAGCTGGCTGCATGGACGTGGGTGGAGGCAGCACAGGGAAGAGAGGGCACCTGTGCTGGGGAGGCCTCTTTCCTGTCCAGGCTGGCCCCTCGTCCCCACACCTGTCACCCAGGAGTGATGATCCTTGCCCTGTCTCCTTTCCAGGACCATGGGGCAAAGGAAATATTGGATGGGAAAGCACCCTACAAAGTGGGAAGCACTACCACTGTGGCAGTATTTTTATTTTCCTTAGCATTATTCCAACCTACTTATGGGCTGTTTTTTTTTTTTTTTTTTTTGAGGAAGTTTATCCCTGAGCTAACTACTGCCAATCCTCCTCTTTTTGCTGAGGAAGACTGGCCCTGAGCTAACATCCATGCCCATCTTCCTCTACTTTATACGTGGGAGCCCCACCACAGCATGGCTTTTGCCAAGTGGTGCCATGTCCACACCTGGGATCTGAACTGGCGAACCCTGGGCTGCCGAGAAGTGGAACGTGCGAACTTTGCTGCACCACTGGGCCGGCCCCCGGGCTCTTTTTTTTAATGTTACAAAAAATATGTAGCGTGAACTAAGTCTTCCTGCTATTCAGACCCAAGTTTTTTGCCCCGGAGCTAAACATTGGCATTCATTTTCTGAGTTTCCTTCCAGGAATTTTCTAGTCAAATATATCTGTGTGTGTTCGTGTTCCTGGTAGCGCACTCTGCTCCAGTGCTGCCAAACAGAAACACAACGAAAGCCACAGATGCAATTTTAGTTTTCTAGTAGACACTATTAAAAAGGTAAAAGGGGTGGTGAAAATTATTTAATAATTTACCCAACATAAGCCAGACACCATCATTTCAACATGTAATAAAATACAAACTATTAATGAGATATTTACATCCTTTATTTCATACTAAGTCTTCTCAATTCAGTGGTCACGAAATTGCAAAACAACTTGGGAAACGCTGGAGACCAGAGGTTAAGAAAAAGCAGGACACAGCTGTGGATGTGGACTGTGATCATAACTATGCCGACCTAATCTTTATGCAAAGGGCCAGACCAGCGCACGGGATTTCTTGGGGTGTGGGGTTGTGAGGGGTTGTGGCCCTTTTCCTTTCCCTTTATGTTGTTATAAGGTGGGTCTAGCGCTAAAAATGGCTTTCTGTTTTAATTATTATTAGTTAAGTAATACATATTCATGGTAGAAAAAATAATAGAGTGAAATGAAGAAGATCAAAGACTCACACAGTGTCAACTATCACATTCAGCCTCCATTAAGACCAGGAAAGTGTATGGTATTTTTAGAAAATATATTAAAGGTTTTCAGGCTAATCAGAACCGTCCCATGAGCTGTGGTCAATACAGGGGGGCTGAGCTGCCTGCCATCTCCTTCCACAAGCCTTCTGGTTTATATCTATTGAGCTCTAGGTGCATAAAGAGCCGTAGTTATGGACATTACTAATTTCCCACTCTTTCTCTAGAAAGCACATGAGGAGGTTGTGGGCAGGAGATAAACACTTTCTGCCTTTGAAGTTCCACCATCCTTCCTCGTCGGAGAGTGTGGTAAGACTGCAGAGGCCTCTCTCTGCTGAGACTAAGCAATTTGCCAAAACCTGCTCTTCTGCCTCTCAGATGGGGGCAGGAGCTGGGGGAGGAAGAGCCCTGGACTGGAGTCCAGAGTCCTCCATTCTAGTACGCTCTCCTGCTGACTGACTTGGGATGAGTCACTGTGCCCATCCGGCCCTCGCTTTCCTCATCTGTAAAACGAGGATGATCACAACACCTGCCTCAGTGGGTTGGCCGGGGAACCTCAAATGAGACAGGGATGCTGGATGCATGTGTCAGAGGCAATCAAGGTTCTCTCCCCTCTGAGAGACCACCCTTTCTTTTAAATCTCAGGTGGCCATTGCAAGGTATTCTGGCTGGCAAATAGCCTACATTCTGTGGGGTAAGTGCCATTACGTGACCCATTCGGTCAACCCACATTCCGCGGGCACCTGTAGACTCCTGGTGTGGGCAGGGAGGAGAGAGGTGAGGCAGAAGCAGCCCTAGCCCTTCCTCGAGGGACCTGCAGGAAGGAGGGAGAAGCAACACTCATATAGATCATCATCACCATCTGTCCTGAGCCCACAGGGCGTATACACTAAGGGTGGTGGTGACCCAGAGGGGGAAGTGACAGTTCACGCCCAGGGTAGGGCACAAATGCTTTCTAGTGGAGTTGACATTTGAACTGCACCTGGCAGGATGAGCAGGTGACAAGCAGGAAGAAAAGGGAAGTCATGCCAGGCAGGAGAAGCAGCATAATCATAAGTGCCAGGGCTTCGGTGAGAGGAGGATAGAGGGGGACTGCAAGGAGGGACATGCAGGACTGGATCATGAGGGGCCTTGAGTGACTGTGGGCTCCCTTGGCCTACAGGCTACCTCATCATCCACGTGGTGCAGAGCCTGTGTGGCCTGGCAATCATGTATGGCCTAGTGTTGCCCATCATCCACAACCAGGGCCTGGAGATGCTCCGAGGACTGGGCATCGGGACGTAAGTGTTGGGGATTTCTGTCATTACCCAGGGCCTGGGGCTGGTGGGCTGTCGCAGCCCCTCTCCAAAATGCCCCTTCCCTCTGGGCTCTCACCAACCTGTGACACCATGCTCTCAGCTCTGATGCAGGGATGAGCCATCATAGCAACTCACAGAACGGGAGCCTTAGAGCCTACAGGATGGTTCCACTCTCACTGTCCAGCAGGGTCCTCACAATTGTGTGTGGGAAGATATATGTATGTCCATTTTATAGCTGGGAAGATTGAGGTTCAGGGAGGCGAAGTGAGAGAGAGGACAGTATAGTGGAAGGAAAGAAGGAATCTGAGCTTTGGTTTTAGATCAGCTCTGAATTTGGGTAAGTTGCTTCTCTGAGCCTCAGGCTACCCATATGGAATAGGAAGGTGAATGCTGCCATTATTGAGAATTTACTATGCATCTTTTCTCTTAAGAACCCTTTAGGGTTAGGGCTTACATTAGCCCCCTTTTGTCAGACGAGGAAACAGGCACAGAGAGGCTAAGCAGTTTGTCCAAGGAGGGGGAAGAGACAGCACTGGAGCTGGGCAATCGACATCAAAGCCTCACTTAAGCCCTACCCCACACTGATGCTCAGAGGATGCACACACGGGATGTGGTACTGTCTGGGGACCTCCCTGCTCTGAGCTCCTTGGTTCCCTCCTCCTTTAGAGCCCCCTATGAGCCTGGGGCAGAGCCTGCCCTGTCCACTCTCTCATGGCCTTCATGAGCTCTTCTAAAAGCCCCTTTCATGGAGTCCCATGCTTTTAAACCACTCATCCCAGCTGCCCGCACTCTGGACAAAAGGACATCAATTAAACCCTGGAGTTGTGCTCTAGAGCCAGAAGACCTGACTCTGCAGCTTCAGGAAAGTCATCTCCCCTTTGTGAGCCTCAATTTTCTCATCTGCACAATGAGTGTGAGAATGCTCTGTAAGCAGAAAGCACAAAGCTTGTGCTACTGTTAGTGTGGCGGGCCGTCAGCACCTGTCCCCTCTGTATCACTCGGCATTCGAGAACGGCTTGGGAAGAGCTGACAAGGCCACCTCAGGATGGTCTCGCCCTGTGTTTCAGCCTCACCATATCCACCGTCCTGGGTCTCATGATGCTGCAGGTATGGATCGCCACCAGGTTCTTCCTGCAACCAAAGATGGGCACAGCCGACACGCAGAAGCCCTTGGCTCTCAACAACAGGTGCGGGCAGAGAAGGGAACGGGCACTGTAGGGCTTTGGCTTCGGCAGTCTCTCGTTCCTTCCTCTCCACCCGTGGCAGGTTCCTGGGCGGACTCTGCACTCTCTGAGGGGGTGAGGGGCAGTGGTTCAGGAGTGGGCTCTGGGGCCAAACTGCCTGGTTCAAATCCTGGCTCCACCCTTTATGAGCTGTGTGACCTCGGGTGACCTTACTAAACATCTGTGAACCTCATCTTCCTCATTTTACAGATAACTGGGCATACCCCAAGAGGTGTTCAGAGGATGAAATGTTAAGATATGAACTTAGAACAACAGTGCCTGGCCCATGGTAATCCTTTCCAGTTCATCACTCATGGAGCAAACACATGGGCACTGACGATAAAGAGATATCCCCATGTGACCTGCCTGTTAGCTCCTCACAGTCCACTAGAGCTGACAGACACAGAGCCATAGGGAGAGCAGACTCCAGAGGGTGTGGGAGGATACTAGAGAAACGCGAGTAATGGAGGAGAGGCAGGAGTATTAACTCAGCTGCTGGTGGACAACTGAGCTGAGCTGAGCTGAGTAGGTTGGCAGGATTCCTACAGGTAGAGATGAGGAGAGGGCATGGCTGGCAGCTCCCGCTGCATGGATACAGGCAGGAAGCCATGAAAGGCAGGACATGTTGGGAGCAGAGTGAGAATCCAATATGGTGGCTGTGCAATGGCCTCAGGTGGTGAGCCTCAGGGAGGAAGCACAAAGTGACAATGACAGAAAGCCCCTCTCAGAGAGGGCCCAGAAATTCAGTATGCAAAGCTTGGGCTTTATCCCATAGGCAACAGGAAACCATGGGATCAGGTGGTCATTTGGGAAGTTTCATCTGGAGGAACTGGAGCAGTCCCTCCTAGGGGCATGTCACTGTCACAACAGTGCTTTTCCACTGTTATAGCCTCTGCTATAGCCACAAAACCAGCTGTAGTAACATGAGATTTCTTATTGTACAGGAAACCCCAAAACCCAAGGATTCCATGCAACTTTACAGTCCCCGCTAACGTCTGTCCTGCACTGCGCTCAGTGCCCACTACACTGCTTCTGAGCTGGTCTTCTCCCCAGTGCTGTGAGGTGGGGACAGTCGGCTCCTGCTTACAGCACGGGGTCACGCAGCTAGTAGACAGGAGATGTAGGATTTGACCACAGGTCTGGGCACGCCCTGAGCCCACCTGCCTAGCCACCTTCCCATACTGAAAGGGTGCTGCCCTCTGCCTGCTTCCGTTTGCAGGAAAGCGTTCCACAACTTCAACTATTTTCTGTTCTTCTACAACGTGCTGCTGGGCCTGGGCGCCTGCCTCTCCAGGCTGCTCATCAGCTGCATCCTGGGCGCGTGGCTCATCGCCCGCATCGACAGGACCATCATGCAGAGTGGCTATGAGGGAGCAGACATGGGTGAGTGGCCAGCCCCTGATGGCCAAGCATCTGGGGAGGGCTGGTCTTTAGCTCTGTACAAGCTGCCTGGAGGGCAGGGGTCAGAGGCCCACAGTTCACACTCTTCACTTACATTCAGAGCTTATCTTCCCATGGAGGCTACAAAGCTGAGTAGGAAAAACACACTCATTCAGAAGGGAGGTCAGGCTATTAAACCCCTCACATGTGACAGACCTCTGAGGTACCATGGCGGGCAGTGAGAGGTAGTGGAATTCTGTCCAGTTAGCAGGTAATTTACGAATGCATGGCTCTCAAAATTTTGAGAAAGAACACATCTCAGAATTACTGGTATTAGTTGGAAATTTCTTTAGTTAAGAAAACGGTCTGTTCAGTTGAAATACTCCAAAATCAAAGGCATTTCTGTGGAGCAAAAATGGTTTTTGTTCTATTTCTAGGCCGTGTCCATTCACTCACTCACTCACCGTTCCTTATGTGACCAATGCCTTCTCCATATTAGCCAGAGGCTCCGAGCCCCGCTGAGCTTCAAGTTCCCGATAAAGGGATGGATTAGGATGTCATCTCTAAGAACTCTTCCAGCTCTTCCTACCTCATTTTTTAGATTCTCAGCAAAGACACAGGCACCATTTAGGAACAAAGTGATGCTGCAGTTACGCTATAAAAAGCACAATGGGGCCAGCCTGGGCAGTCCTGCCTGGCCTGACTCATCTTCTGGATTTCAGGCTACAGTGCGTGGATCGGCATGCTCTATGTGGATCATTATCATACCAACCCTGTGCTCGTCAGCTTTTGCCACATCCTGATCACAGGCCACAGGGAGAGGAGGCTGCAGCGGGCCATCAAATACTGGTACCTAAACCAGTCAGCATGTAAGTCTCCTGTTTGAACCTACACTGGGGTTGGACACCAGGAAACAAGCACCCTGAGGCTTCTCTGGGATCCCTGAGATGTCCCAGGTTACCCTTCCCCGCCCCCCTTCCTCCACACTCCCTGCCCGGGGAAACCTTCTACCTGGAAGACCAGGAGGCTTAGTCCCCAGTCAGCCTGGCTCTGGGCCCCTGAGGCCTTGTGTCCTTGTCCTTCTGACTGGGCTCTTCCTTTTTCTGGGAAATGAGCTCTAGTTCTGCTGGCTGGGTCCTCCTTTCCTCATTTGTTTGAGACCCCACCCATATCCCAGGCTACAGGCCGCATGCCCTCCAAGATGGCACTCAGTTTGCCCACCACAAGTTCTCCCTGCCTCCAACTCCTGCCCCCTCAAGGCTCTATACCGTCTACTGCCACCCCTGTTACTCTGCTCTGCCTTCTGCTGGGAAGCCCACGAGTTAGCCACGTCTTGTCAGCACCGATCTGGACTGTGTTCACCACTGCTCCCACCACTGCAGAAACCAGGCTCTGTGGGACAAATGCACATCCCTCCACCCGCCCTCATGTCCCCAGGAGTCCTGGTCCAGCTCCTTCTCCCACACCTCACATCTACCAGGCAGCTTTCCCTACAGCCTCACAGAAGGACAGAGACAAGCTGCCCCTCGTCCTAATCCATCAGCTCTGATTCTATCCTAGGTCCCCGTGTCTCAGCCAGGTCCAGGACGAGGTGGCTCCTGCTGCAGACCCTGATCAACAACCCCAGACTGGTCACGCTCAGAAAATCAACAGCAGGTTATGGTTCCCAGGAGTTTACCCAGATTCTGTTGACGTGCTCAGAACACTGACACTGACCTCCAACTTTGCTACAAGGCCATTCCAGGATCACTGCCCCTGCGAGAAGGCCCAGGCTACCCAGCAGCTGTCCCCTGCAATGTGATGCGATGCACAGCCCCTGTCCATGCACGTGGCACACAGCACTGACCAGGATGGCAGCTGGGCTAAAGAATGAAGTGTCAGGTCTAATTCACTCCCTTGGCAAAAAGATCAAGAACTAAAGAGAATTACTCTTATACAAACTTTGCCCAATAATGATTTCCACTATCCACTGTTAGGAGGCAGCCTCGGACACCTTCCATGGTGAGAAGCACTTAGTTTGACCACAGGATGGAACTTTGTGTCACTGAAGAAGGTGGGAAAATTTCTCTATCAGGAGAGTTTAACTGTTTGATGCAGTTTTTCTCTGGAAGAAAGTATGGCCTTAATGCAACAGGGTCCTCGTCGCTTCCTCCTTTCCAGGCCTTCCTCATGGTGGTGGGAGAGAAGGAAATCCATGATACCAGCCTCCAATCTGGGAGGGAGAGCTGGCACACACTGAGCTCTCCCTGCCAGGGCCACTGGGATGAGGGACAGATCCGAACTGATCTGGGTCTTGGTCACAAAGAAGACGCACAGATTCTCTCTAGCAAGGGGGCATCACCTGGGAAAGCTGCCTATCTGAGGAGGCAGAGACAGGATGGGCAGGCATTCCGGATGGGGGACAAGAGCAAGGGTGTGGGAACCAGAAAGGCCCACGCATGTTTGAGGAGGGGGAGCCCCCTGGTGTATGCAGTGCAGGGTGCTGGGGGCTGCTTAGACCATTCCAAGGAGGCCCAGAGGCCAGGCTGGGAGGCCTGGACATTTCCTGTTGTGCAGAAGGCCCAGTACTTACCCAAATTCTTCACACCCAAGCCTAAGATCTCTGATAGCCTGGAACCTGTACAAAGTCTGACCATTCAAAGTCACTCACGAAGCCTGTGCAAGTGCCAGGAGGACCCACCAACAGGGTGAGGGAAGTCCCTGTCCACCTCCCAAGTCCCAGAGCCACTGAAATTCAATAATCATTACTGAGCACCTCCTGTAAACCCAGTCGTGTTGGTTGCTAAGTGTGTCTGCCATACTTCTCTTTTAACTTAATCGCTGCAACTAAGCTTTGTCATTCTGCTTTTAGAAACTGAGAAAATTGGGACTCAGCATTGGGATCCCTACACCACCGCCGTCTAGCTGTGTGACATCAGCTAAATTACTGTCTTTCTGTGCTTCCTTTCCCCCTTATATATAAATAGGGAGTAATACCTGTAACATCCAAAATTATTTTGAGGACAAAATGAGTTAATACATATAAATACTTCTAAGCTTGTACCTGACATATCCTAATCTCAATAAATATCAGTTATTGTCATTTGTAATGTTACACATTGTGGTGATCTGATTTATATGTGCACAGCTCTTGCTGTGCTCTCAGCTCCATGAAGAAAGGGGCCTGCAATGGTCTTCCCTGAGGTAGTTGCCTTGCAAATTACTGTGGATTCTCCTCAGGACCTACACTCACCAGCCCTATTTGCTTCTAGACCTATTAGTAGATTCAGCCCCAGAAGTCACCATGGCCACCAAAGCAGAGTGTGGGGGTTTTTCCACGGCCAAGTATATGGACCCATATTCTGACAAATCAAAACTCACCTGTGATCTATCAGGTCCCAGCCAGGGAGGAGTGGCCACGATGTACTGACAGAGAGGCTGGGGGCCTCTAGGGAATTTCTGTTCTAAAAGAATTGTATAAGGATGTGCAGGGATGCTGGAAGTCCTAGTTCATAGGTAGCATAAACGTTTACGAAAAGAGGCCCAGCTTCAGCCTTAAAAGGTACATCACAAATCTTTCCCCCGACATGAAACAAGCAGGAAAAGGAAATGGAAGGTCATGGACAAGGATCCCAGGAGGATTCAAATCTAGGTGAAGAGTGATCATGGAGCCCCTAGAGGGGACTGAGGACAGAAAGTCCTGCCAGCCCTTAGTCCATCTGCAAATTATCTTCCTCTGGCCTCGTCCTCTCCACATGGAATGTTTGCTCTCCTTAGATTTTTTCCCCGCTCACTGCTGATGCAGTTCCAGAGACTGAACTAGAAAACCGTAAGTTTCTAATATTTTGCCAAAAGAAACCTCAACAGGAGAAGCAGAAAATGTTCCCTCTTCCTCCACAGTGTAGAAAGGTAGCCACTGTCCTGGGGCAGAAATGGGCCTGGCAAGTGTTATTTTTAAAGACACCCAAATGTCAGTGGTGGTTGCTCTGCCTGTGAAAGTACCTTCATCCTCTAAATCCCAGGAGTTCTGGGGAACTGTCTCTGCTCCTGGCCCAGGTTAACGATACTGAAATGAACATGTCCTCTGAGGAATGGGGTTCTGGGGGTCTCCTTCCATAGCCAGGGAGGAGAGCTGACCCTTCTCCCTTCTCCCACATACAATAAGCTGATGACCCTGCAAGATTTCTTGGTTCAAGGAGGAATGTGAGAGTCTGTATCTCATTTAAATTAGCATAGGAAGGGAAAGAACAAAACCTCAACTCTCAGGCTGTAAAAGAAACAGGATTTTAATATAATACTACTCAAGTCTAGCATTTACTACTTACAGTAAATAAACACTGCTCTCCTCAAAAGATAAACAGGTGCTGGTGAAGAGCAGCAGCAAGGTGATGCAGGGTCATCCCCTCTTCTCCTGGCCTTCAGGAGACCCCAGGGAAGGGCTCACGATGTTCTCCTTCACCTTGGAGCAGGAGGAGCTGGCCCAGTGTACCCCGAGTGCCCCAGCTGTGCCCCTACTTCTGAGGGAGAGGTCGCACTTGAGCTGGTCTTAGAAGACTGACGTGCAACTGGTACTGGGCTCTGTGGTGGAGGCCTGGTGGCTAGACAGAAGACAGGGACAGCCCACCCTCCCCAGCCTGTCCCCACTGCACTCTGAGCTCCAGGCCTGGTGCTCAGTGCTCGGTCAGTCAACAGCACCCCATTTGTCCCTGCCAAGCGAGCGATGATTTAGCATCACTCATTTCACAGAGGAAGAAACTGAGTCCCAGAAAGCTGAAGTGACTCACCCTAGGCACAGGACTGGTCAATAGTGGAGCTGGGATCTGACTCCCCAAGACCACGCTTAGCCCAAAGCTTTACTGAGCCCTTAGGATTCAGCCACTGCCAGCCTGGACACTTCCTTGCACCTGAGCTCAATGATGGCCAGTTCTTCTTGGCTTTCAGAGTTCTGCTGGCCAACTAGGACTCCAGCTAGCCATGGCTCCAGCTGGCAGGACAGGCTGTAGCTACAGGACAGAGTGGCGCCTGTGAGCCTACCAGGAGCCATACCTCAGGTGTCCCTCCCAGGGCCTGCCCAGCAGCTGGAGTCCAGGTGCACCAGAAGTCGCCATGCAACAAGGTCAGGGACTGGCCAGGGCCATGGCCGCAGACTCTGTGGAGCCGGCCACCAGGGAGAGTTGGCCACAAGGGCAGGGTCTGTAAGTGTCCTCACCCAAGTTCGGCCTGGCCTCACCTCCCATTCTCGCTGAGCTGCTGCATGTCCTGGAACCAGGCCCTAAATCGCTCCTCAGGCTCTGTTGTAATGATCTGCAGCCACCTGGAGCAGCAGAATCTCTCATTACTTTGTATTCCTGGGGCCAGAGGGAAGGACAGAATGCAGACAGGGCCTTGGTGGGGGATGCTGCAGGGGCCTTGTTGGGGGTGAGGAGCGAGGAAGCGCTCCGTCCTGGGTCTTTGGTCACATGGGAACCCTCCTCCTCTCCAACTCCATCCTGGTCCAACCTGTTCTCAGAGATGGGTGTAAACAGCCCCTCCTCCGGAAATTGTCCTTGATGCCAGCCCCTTTCCCTCCCCACCAATTCAGTGGATTTCCCACTTCTCTGTTATCAAACTCTCCCAATAAATGTGAGATGTAGGGGATGGGGCAGGGAGCATCCTGCCCAGGTTTCTGATTTCCACTCCTCTCCCCTCCCCTGCAATGAGTGCCACAGCTACTCACCTTATTCCTCTTCTGGAGGTGGATCTGATTCTGAGAGCCAGACAGCCAAAGTCCTTCAGAAAGAGCCCCCTAGCCCATACTAGCCCCCATCCTCACATTCTCATGTTGCACTACCACTAGCGCCCTCGAGGGGGCAGCACACACAGAAAACGGGCTTGGACCTAGGCCAGGCTCTGGGCTCCAGGTTGGTGGGACATGGATGCTGAGGCTCAGGGATCTTCTAGCCCAGCTCTCTCTGATGACAGACAGGGAGACAGGCCTCAAGCAGGAAGAGACTGCTCGGCCACTTATGTGCTGCCAGACTTGGAGGAAGCCAAAGTCTGTCTCCTCTCCATGGGTACCATCTGGGGGAGAGGCTGACTCCAGCTCCCACAAAACCTTCTGCAGCTTTGCAGTCAGGTGGCTCTGCTGCTTTGCCAGCCTGGGGACTGGGACGGGTGTCTTATGCACAGCCTCGGTTCACGCACAGTGGTGGCTGAGAGGCTCTCAGGACAGGTTTGCCAAGTGCTGAGAGCTCAGGGTTCAGTGCGGGAGCTCTCCTCCCAAGCTTCAGGATCCTGCTCCCCGCTGCTCTGCCCTAGCTCACCCACCTCCAGATAATCCTGCATCACAGGGTCCAGCATCACTAGGTCAGTAAGGAATGTGCCAAGGAAAGGAACAACACCCTGTGCCATCAGGGTGGGAGCGGTAACGAGCTCCCACTCTCAGGTGCCCCCATGCACCCTGCCCTGAAAACTCCTCACCCTCGACCTCCCAGCCCACCCCAGGATTCCCAAGTGGAGCAGCCTCCCCTCAATTCCCGCTCCCCTCACCCTCTAAGAACACCAGACTCCTCCTAATCACCTCCCAGGGCCTGCTTTTGGCAAATCACAGGGCATGTGGTCTCTGGCCTCTCCCCACCCCCAAATCCATCCTGCACCCAGCTCTTCCAGGCCCTCCTCCTGGTCACTTCTAATGGAAGATTTCAGGCACCGTGGAACAAGGAGGCAGGGCTGGAGGAGGAAGGGCCCTCCTCTGTCGGTTTGGAGATCTCCAGCTGAGAGGGGGGAGCCCCCTCTCCTTTGACCCTGGAGCCGCTCCCCCACAGGCACACTCACCTTCTTCTGCTGCCACTTCTTGTGGGCTCTCTGGGGGAGCATCTCCAGGATGGCAAACTTGGAAGGCCCCTCCTGCCAGGGTCAAGAACAGGGTCAGTGAGGCCATACTCCCATCACCCCATTTCCCCCAAGACCCCTAACCCAGACCCTGGACACCTGATCCGAGTCAGTTGCTAACAACTACTCCATCCTTCAGTGTGCTCTGATTCTAGAACAGTCCCAGCTTCCACACCCACCAGGGTGTGGTCTTGGGCCTGCAGCCTGGCCTCCCTGAGCCTATTTCCTCGTCCAGAAAGTGTGAGAATACCACCTACCTCACAGGGCCTCCTGAGGACTCCATGCCATATTACTATCATTATTGTTCTCCCCTCACACCTCCAGCACATTCCTTTCCTCCCTTGTACCTCATACCACCCTGTGAGGCCTGCATCACAGAATCATCATCCTTCATTTTCCAGATGAGGAGACTGAGGCCCATAGTGGGGTAGTGACTTGCTCAGAGGCCCACAGAAGAGAGGCCGCTCCCCCCTCCAGCTGGAGGCCCTGTCCCAGCTGCCTTCACCCCACCCCAGCCCCACCACTAACCAGAGTCCTGTCCTCTGGGATCTCAATGAGTGTCTAGGCCCCTGTCTGGCTGAGCCATGGATGGAGAGGGATGGGGTGTCTTGGGAGCTGAGGTGAGTGGCTCCTGCTGTCCCAGCCCCACTGGAGTCTCTGCCCCGCTGGCTGGGCCTGAGGCCATGCCAAGGCTTCACCTCCCCAAGGTACCCCTCAGGATGTTCCCCTGAACAGCACTTGCTTCATGGACTCAGGAAGTGGAAGCCCCAGTGCCATCTCTGACAGGGTAGGGGATGACCAGGGCACAGGCTGGTAACACTTTGTTTCCTCTTCTACATGAAGCTTCTGACTTCCATTCAGGAAGGATCCACTCAGAATCCATCCATTCCCCAGACTCTTATAAGCCATGTGGGGCATGATGTCATTGCCAACTAGACATCCCAGTGAGAATCCCGACTGTGACTGATTAGCAGAGACTGCTACAGGGGCAGAGTAGGAAATTGCAGAATGCACCCATATCTGTCCCTGGTCCCGTCATGTGGACCAAGGCTAGGCAGCCCGTTTGTCCACCTGGCCTGTGGGATTCCCCTGCAGTGCCCATCCCTGGGGCAGGGAGGGTACCCTCCTCTTGGAGATGCAGTGAAGATGGGAGGAGCAACAGGGGCCTGGATTCCTGGGGACAGGCTGGACTGCTTTAGGGAGGAAAAGAACCCCTACCCACCCCAACAGCCTGGAGGAAGCTAAGTGCCCGCAGGATGGACCAGCATGGAAGCCAGACCCCTCCTGATTCTGCCAGCTCAGCAACCCTTCCTAGAACAGCCCAGCTACCACCACTATGTCCCATTACCAGGCCCTCCTCTCCCTCAAACTGCCCCCACCTGCCCTGGGGTCAAACAGATCCCACTTCCTGTTAATCTAGACAAGATGGGAAATTTTCGAAGACACTTAATCAGAAACAAAACTATATCCTGCCTATTCCCCTTTCCTGTCTCACCCCTCCTCTCGTTCCAGACCTCCAGCCTCTACTCTACCTTGATGAGCAGCTCCCTGCTCAGTGAGTTGTCTTTGCTGCACAGCTTTTGACATTTTTGGGAGCACTTCCAGAGGGGAGGGGAAAGGAAAGAAGGGGAAATATGGGAATTATGGGAGTAGTGTGAGTACAAATTCCTTTTTGAGAACTGAAAAGACGCAAGCTGTTTGGATGAGGGTTTCCACCAGGTTCCTCTGAGCTCACAGGGCCCCATGGTGGTCGATTCAAGAGTGAGGCTAAAACCCTTAATGGTTAATGGAGAGGATCAAACCTGGATGCAAAAGACACCTTGATTAAAAGCAAGTGTGCTGAAATATTCATAATGTGCACCTGGGGTGTTTGAGAAATTAACAAAACCAGCTCTAATTTCTAGAGAAACAGGTGGTAGTGCTTAGCGATGGGTTAAAAACAAGTGCCTGGTGAGAAAAACCTGGCCTCTCCTGTGCTGGGAGAATTCCCAGGAAGAAGAGTGAGTTAAAAGGAAATCAAGATGCAAAGATCCCACAAATGATACCTAATGACTACTACTTTGGCTGGTGGGTGGAATTGGGGTTTTCTCCCTCCCTAACAAGGATGAAGGAGGGATAAAAATACATTGTCCCAAGAATGATGTGACTGTCAGAGAATTTGCGGCATCTAGGGAAAACTTGGAAAAAAACCTCAGAGGGCAGGAGCAGGTGGTGGTGAATAACAGAGGGACAAGCAGGTAGAATAGGGCCGTGTGACTATATGATCTGGAGGAAATGAAAAGATGACAACCTGAATCTTTCTTCGGGTAAGAGAAGCCTGTCTAGATGTGTTTGTCAGGCAGAACGACATATGTGGGCAGCTTGGAATGTGTGTGTGCAAGACACACCCATCCTCTGCAGAGAACATGCTCACAACGCAGAGCGATTATTATAAGGGCAAAGCTGTGGGAGTAGGGGGGGGGGGGGTTGCTCCACAGCAGCAGTTGCTGGAGAAATAAGGAAGTGGGAAGGCAGCTAGGGAACCTCTTCCCAAGCTCTCTATAAAGATTCACAGCTGAGACGAGCACGGGGCACCCCTCCTAATAGGCAGGAGTCTCCTCATTCGGCATGCTAAAGGTAAAGTACATTTACTTGCTTTCATCTGATTCTTGATATGGGAATGGCAGCTGTTTCTAAAAGGTTCCAAAGCAACTGAAAGTGATTGCTTAGAGGTTATGAGGGCTTCCCTAGGCAGGAACAAGGCAAAGAAAACCTCTGAGTTGGGGGACAGAGGAAAACCACCAGAGAGTGGGTTGGGCAGGTGGAAAAAGGAATCCCAGCATTTCACTGAGATCAAGAGGGAGAAAAATCTAGATGGTTCCCACTGCCTCCCACAGAGTATGTGTTCTATCAACCTTTGTTGAATGAACGTTGCAGAGTGACAGGGCAACATAAAAGGTTTTTGAGACCGTGGTTTCAGTACTCTTTCTTCCTCAAAGTTGGCCAGGGACTGATCAGACCAAATCTTCAGAACTCATTTCTAGAAACTACACAGTCACCAGCTCATCTCATCACATCTACTCTGCTTCCCTGAGGTGGACCCTGAGTGGTAATTCAGGGCCAGCAGGGGCGAGAACAGGTAAGCACACAGCGGTTATGGGTGATTTCTGTGACCATAGGGGAGAGCTACAGAATTCTGGAATTTAGCCAGTTTCCACAACCACAAGGATAAGAGAGACTAACATTACCAAAGTCAACGTCCCCTCCTTGTCCCGTGCCTTTTCAATATGTCCCGGGGCACTGCGGCCTGGCCCACAGGAGGGCGGCTGCCCCAAGGGCATGTGTAGGAAGCTTGAAAATATGTCTCCTCCCTCCTGGGTTTGGGCTGGAGAGATTTAGCACAAGCAGCATCTGCACATAAGGGTGAAAAATTTCAAGGTGGTTGACAATTGGCTCCATGAGGCACCTGCCTGAAAGACTGTCTGAGAGCCTCAGGGGAAGCCACATACCTAATGAAGGTGACCGGCCACAAGGGTATGGAAAACCAGCAGAACCAGGGTGTAAAAAATGCAGAATGCACAGCATAGACCCTAAGCTCACTGCGCCCATCAACATCCATCTCGAGACTTGAAACAAAAACCCTCAAAAAGAGACTCCTTACCCTCTGCTGGTCTTTGAGAAATTCAAGCCGGAAATGGTGTAGCTGTTCTCCAGGGCCTGGGTGTCCTTCAGGACTCCAGTTCTGCACCGCAGTGCTCGTGGAGCCTGTTCCCCGTCAGTTCCGCTGTCTGGCCGTAGCCTACAGACTCCTTTTCGCTTTTATGTCTACAGACCCTGAAGGGGTCTACCTGGTGCCTCCCTGTCTTCCTCCATTCTCCCATTTATCCAGCACAGCAGCACCGGCTTCTGTCAGCCCAGAAAGACATAGTCACCCCAACTGCACAGAGCTCTTCTGGGGTTTCTAAGGAGCAGAAGGGCTACTAAAGACTGAGGAAAACCGTCTTCCTGGAGTCAGCTCAAGAGACTGAGGCGTGAGGAAGGTGCTGCTGTTGTTTAACATTTACTGGAAGCTCACGAAGCTCAAATCTACATGAGGACAAAACTATGGTCTGATCTTTAGCCTCAGAGGCCCTGGGATGAGTCTTCATGAAAAGCTACAGCGCCGACTTCCCACAGAAGCAGAGCGACAGTTAAGGAACATCACACCATCAGTGATCAGCAGGTGTGATCGCACTGAGCAAGCAGAGCTTTTCAGCAAGATGGAGAGGCTCCCCTGTTCTCTGCTCTGGGCCCCGGAAGCACCGATTCAGTCCCATTTGATGCAGCTATTATACTGTAACCGTCTCGACTTGACTTGTTTGTTGATTCTACAAATATTTGCCGAACGCAGGCTACTGTGTAAAGGCACAAATCAGGCACTGAATAACTGCTGGTAGAATGAACAAACGGAACCTCACTCAGCCTGTGAGAATGCAGTGTATGTGTATGCGTAGGGGGCATAAGTGTAGGATTAAAAAAAAAAGGTGTTGCTTGAGCTAAATTTTGAAATATGAGTGAGAGTTACCCCAGTGGATAAGAAAATAAAAAGGGTATCCAGGCAGAGGTAAAAGCACATGCCAAGGCATGGAGCCTTCTGGGGACTCCGTCGTGGCTTAGAGAGTATGAAGCCAGCTGGGTGCTGGGTAGAAACAGGCAGGGAAACCTGTTTTCACATAAGAATCAGCCCAAGGAATCAGTGTGAGATGGATGCTAAAAATATTTGTTTAGAAGGGAATATGTATTTGGATTTCAGGGGGGAAAAACACCCCCAGAGAATTGGATTTTCTGAGGCCAGGTAGCAGGACAGCCCTGAGAAGTCCCAGGGCTGACCAGCAAGTACACTGCTTGGCCTTTGGACCAACAGGAAACGCCCCTCCACAGCCTAAGAGCTGGGAGGTGGTGACTGTAGTGAATCCCCGGGGCTTTCCCCCGGGAGACCCGTAAACCTGATTCTGTTTAGTGCCCTCCAGAGGATTCTGACTCCTAGCAACCCTGTGGACAGCAGAGCGGAACCCTGCCTGGATTTGTGCACCATCCTCTCACCTTCCGCTACATCAGACAATGCTCTGCTGCTATTCACAGGGTTTTCATGGCCAAGTCTTTTGGAGGCGGCTGACCCAGTCCTTCTTTCTAGTCTGTCTTAATCTGGAAGCTCTGCTGAAACCTGCCCACAGTGAGTGACCCTGCTGGCATCGGAAATCCCAGCGGCATAGCTTTCAGCATCACAATAACACACAGCCTCCCAAGTATGACAACCTACAGACAAGAGGTGTGGTTCCCTGACCGGAAGCTAATCTGGGCTGCAGTGGTGAGAGTGCCAAGCCAACCTACACGCTGTTGTTTTAGTGAGAAGACCCCAGTAAGATGAAACATTTCTCAAAACTAAATAGAGATCACCTATGTAAAAGGACTTTCTACACTGTCACGTGATATCCAAATACAAGGTACTGTCATCCCTATCATAGGAAGCCAGGAGTGTGGCCAGTTCACTCGAAGCATATGGGCAAAAGCAATTTTGGCAGGGCAACGGCAGGGGGACTGAGAATGTGGCTGCCCGAAGCAGCACAGGACAGCAGTTGCGTTTCAGTGATGCCTGGGAAGAGGCACACTCTACACTGATCCCTGTAGATACTCTGTAAAGCTGTAATTTTCCCCTTTCTTTTCTAACTCTTTATAGTAAATGATTAGACAAATGCAGACTGATTCTATGTGAACTCCTCAAGGGCAAGGGCCCTTATATTTACCTAGCACAGCACCTGGCAAGTAGGCAGCACTTAGTAAACGTATGTGGGTCCCTGAGGCGACTGCTGAAAAGGGAGGAAGGATTGAGGGGGATGTTATAATGGAAAAAATAACCACGTCTCCAGCCGTACACTGATGTCTTGGTTTCTTGGTCCAAAGCTGGTAAGCAAGTCGTGTCAGAAGTTGGTCATTAAGATTGAGGGGTGGAGTGGATAATGATATCCCCATGAGAAAAGAGTAAGTCACTTTGGGAAATGAAGATAGCAGAAACCAAGAGCTCTGCTGGAAAAGAGCATGGGGGGCTGGAAGATAATAGATTCTGTAGCTAAAGAGAAAGGAAACTATTTGTATAAATATGATCCTCTTAGGAACAGGTGTACTGGAAAAAAATACAGGGAGTGTGGGAAATGGGCCAGGGAAGGTCCTACCATTCATGCTCCAGGAAAAAGAACCACTGTCAAAAACACGGCAAAAGCAGGGGGAAGAAAACCCTAGGAACGTGGTCAGAGAAGACGTGGAAGATTAAAGGCTGAAAAACCCACACACATTTTTGTATACTCTAGTGAAACTGGGTGAGCCATCTCTGCCCTTTTATCTCCCTTTGGAGGGAGTGTTGTTGTTGTTTTGAGGAGATTAAGGCCACCTGGTGACATCCTTCACATCCATCCTGAGTGATTTGATTTGCACTTATATTGTGATTAGGGGAGAGTTAATATTCTTGGGATTTTTGTAATCTTAATGTTTACCCAATGCTGGACATCAAGGAGGTGATATCCAAGGTCTAATATTTGGGGAGCACCTAGAGCCATCCAGCAATTTTTCCAGGGTTATCAGTGGGTGTGATACCAAGAGCCCTCAGTGAAAAGACCAGTTTGGGCATAAAATCCCAATGACAAATCTCTGAATTGGAGCAAAGATCATAGTTGCAGCCTTGCTCCTTCTGATTTTCTTTAAAAAAATATATATATATCCCTGTTTAGGTTAGTGTGTTAGGCTGATGAGAGGGGTTTGAACTGAAAGGGGACTATAAACAGCTCTGTAATGGGGAGGTGCTTAACCCATTTACACCTCGGAATTTACTCCACTGAGCTGTGCATGAGGTGCCACACACATGCTTCAGGCCACCATGGAGTTAAAAAGAAAAGCTAGCAATTGGTAAAGCAGGTTCTTGTGTTTTCTCACCAGCCTGATCTCTCTTCCATGTAAGCCCAGGAGCCCAAGGAAGCCACTTCTACTAACGGAGGATGTCACTAGGTTTGGCAGTGTGGAAGGGAGGCAGGGGAACAGGGAAGCTCTCCCAGAATGGCTCTGTGGTGAATTCCATCGCTTAGCTCTCTCACCACTCCATTTTTGGACAAGAAACCAGAGTCTATCCTTGGGCCCCAATTTGTGCCCGTGGGAATGGGGTGGAATGAAGGGTTACCACAGCCGAGGGGACGAGATGAGGGTGCATTACTGTGTCAGGCACAGACCTTTGTGCTCCCCAGACAACAGAGTCCCAATAAGCCTTCCTTGGCTCCGCACCTTTCCCGCTCTCCTCCTCCTCGTTCAGAAGCACTGCTGGGCAAAAGCGTCCTGGGTGGTGTCTGTGGACCAGTGTCTGCTGGTGCACACAGTCAGACCGCCACAAAGACACTGTGTGTCATGCTTCCTCAGTGACCCTGTCTCGTTCCTCTTTCTCACGGATTCTGTCTCAGAACACCCCATCCTCTCAAGGGTCCCTTTAGTTCTCCAGAGCACGTCCTGTCAGAGAGCACACCCAGAAGCCTCTCCCAGGCCCAGTTAAGTCCAGAGCCACCCAGAGGCATCGTCACAGTGGGACTGCCAGTGGAGGAAGCCACACTCCGAAATCGGGGGATTCAGTGGAAATCAGTTCCTGCAGCAGTTTCGTCCCTAAACCGTCCTCATCCACCTATTTAATCACCACATTTCCTGAGCACATACTATTGCAAAGCCCTGTGCTTGGGATCTCAGTGCGACTTATTAACAAACGTACACTCTTGCTTCTGCCTCTCCTTGACACTTTTTCCCCAAAAATCTTCCAAACACAGATTTCATGGCTCCAGGCTGCTAAACCTCTCAGAGTCTCAAGCCTGATGTTCAAAAGGGGATAAAGTCCTGAGGCTGCTGTGAGGATGGCATGAGATGTTCCACACCCCGGCACGGGACCCGGCCCACCGCGCGCAGTCACCCTACCTACCCTTCCCTGCTCCCGAGGACTTTCCCGACAGGACCTGCCCGTCACTACTCCGCCTGCTCTCGCCGCCGTCCTCCGGAAGGTCAGGCCCGGGCTCAGCCTCCTTCCCTCCCTCAGAGGCCTCATGGGCCTCCCCGTGCGCTGGGCTCTCACGCCAGCTCCTGCCTCCGCTGAAACCCAGCTTGGGGCCAACGGGCCACCACGGAGGATCAGCATCCCAACAGAGGGGGCGACGCACAAGGGCAGCAGCCCACAGGGCCGCCGCCTCTCGACCACGCTGGAGGGACGCGGTCAGGGCGCGCTGAGCCCCGAGAGAGGTCAAGGCCAAGCAAGTCCTCCGGGCGCTGGGAAGCTACTCCCGGCCGGACCCCAGGGCAGGGTCCTCTCCTCCGGGCAGAGCTTCCCTCCCGGCGGCCCCAGGGCACGGTCTCCCCCACGCAGGCGCCCGCGGCTGCCCTCTGCTCCCGAGCGGCTGTCCACCCAGCCCGCCCCGAGACGCGCCGCTTCCCGGAGGGGCTCCGACGGCCTCTCCAGGGACCGGGCGCTGCCCGCTCGGCCTCCGCCAGCGCGGGGAGCGGGCGCCCCGAGAGTGTCCGCTCACACGGGGTCTGCCGGGGCCGGCCGCTCCCGCCTCCGGGACTCTCCGGGTCAGAGGCGGGACCCTCGGGTCCCTCCGCTCGCACACCGACCCCTGGGGGCTGCGCCACCCCACGCCTGAGAGCCCCCGGAGCGCTGTCCAATGCCCGCAGGCCGGCCCCCGGGGTGCCCGCCGGGCCCCGCCGCCCCGCCCCGCTTACCGGGCCCGTCAGGCTGCGGGACGCGCTCCGGGGCTGGCGGCCTCTACCCCGCGGGCCCCGCGCTTCTCGGGTCCGCTCCGGAGCCAGCACGCTGGGCTGAGGGAGGCGGTGGCGCGGGCGGAGCCGCGGGCTGAGGCGGCGCGCTCCCACCGTCCCGCCCCGCCGCGCGGCTCCGCGCATGCGCCCGCGCCCGCCCTGTGGCGCCTCGAGGCGGGGCCCTGGCGCCGCAGGCGCGACGGCGCGGGAGTGAGGCGCTGAGGGGCCCGGCTGGCGGCGGGCGACGCGTGGGGTTCGGCGTGCCCGGGGAGGGGGCCTGAGCCCCGCGGGGCCGCGGCCGGCTCTGCCTCTGCCCGAGCCCGTTGCCCGCGCCGGCCCCGGCCCCCGAGCGGGCGTCCGGGCGCTGCCCTTCGCGCTGCCCCCCGCGGGCTGTGCGGACGCGCCTCGCAGAGGCCTGGGCTGGCCTGGCGCGGCTGGCGCTGCTCCCTGCGGCTGTGGCCTCGCGGCTCCCGCGGCGAGGCGGCCCTGGACGGGAGCCCTGTGCTCGGCCGCTGCCCTCGGCCGTCGAGCAGCCAGGGCCGGGCGCCGCGCTGCGGGCTCTGCGGAGGGCTGGACGGGAGAGGCGGCAGAGCTGCCGGCGACCCGCGCGGGGGAGGCGCTGCGGGGCCGCCACGCGCCCAGAGCCCTTTCTGTGCGGGAATTGCGCTCCCGGTTTGACGTGGCTTCGTTTGCTGGTGCGTCCCGTCGCCGTGCCGCGAACACGGTCCGCGCCGTCGCTATTGGAGCGTTTGTGTTTGGTCCGCCCCGTGCTAGGTGCCGTGGAGGACGGAGGCGAGGACGCCTTCCTTAACCTGGACGTCGTGGAACTTGCCAGGGGGGAGTATGAGGGAAGAGGAGTGCCGCACATTGCCGTCCTTTGTAAACGCAGCGCCGGCTGCCCCTCCAAACGCTCTCAGTGTGTTGTCAGGGCTTACGTGAGCCCTGATTTCTCGGAACCGCTGTCCTCTGTCTTGTGGAAGGAGCACAGAAGAGCGGACGGCCCTCTGTGCAGCCCGGGCGCCTGACCTTTGGAGTCACGTGTGTTTCACAGATCGCGTTCTCGGGACGTTTTCGGTGTTTTACTTCTAGGCCTTTCGACAGGTTTACAAGGAAGGGGCGGCTGCGGTAATATCGCCACAGAAGTCTCTGCTGGTTAATTCCGTCCTTCCTGCAGAAACGGGCGTCGTGTGAGCGCTCGAGGGCTGCAAAGAGTAAGGGCGCCGTCCCTCACGGGGCCGCGGTCTCGGAGGAGCAGCGCTGACAGGGACCTGAGCGCAAGACGGAACGCGGGTCGCGCTCAAGAGGGGAGAGAAGGGCGAGGGGAGCTCCGAGGAGGAAACGTTACTCCATGCAGGGAGGGGCTGGGGTCAAGGAAACCACGTAATGATCGTTAACTCCTGCTGGTGATCAAGAATTAGAAACAGTGTAAAAATTTATCAGATTCCTTCATTCTTTTAAAATTACCTGCGAAGTTCTTCTCATGTTCAGAAGACAGCTTTTTACCGTGTTAGAAGGATTGTTCGGGGTGTGGAGAGGTTAGTAAGTGCAAACTTTCTGAAGACGGTTCCCTTTATCTCTTCAAGTTGTGGTCACAGAGTAGAACGATGATGCACAAAGGAAGATTTTCAAGGTCAAAGGATGAGCAAAAGCAAAAGCAGGGTGGGAGTGAACAAGGTAGGTCTGGGGGTGGCCAGGACTCTGACTGGACAGGGTCAAAGGTTGCAGGACAGTAGCTTGTGCCACAGAGAACTGCTCTTGCAAGGTAGAGACCGTGTGTTAAACTTTTTTTTTGTTGGCATATACTTTAATTATGGCAAACATATGCCACAAATAGTCTGGGATGGTCTGAGTTCAGATATTCGATTCCATTATGCCCATACGTCCTTGTCAAAAAGATTGACAAGTGTGATCGCCATGTCGATGTTAGTGTCCAGAAATCAGAGATCGTTGTATATTCAACAAATTCTTAATAAGTAGGGAGCTGGGAAAGGCGGAGAGGGGCTATTTGATAAAGAACTCTAAAGAGTTAGATGTTAACATGGTAGGTAAGAGGGAGCCCCTGCAAGTTTTTGAGCAGGCTGGTAGCATGTTAAACGCCACCTGAAGCATTTAGAAGTATTATCTTTTAGATAAAGGACTGAATGAGAGTGCATACGGTCTTTTTGTCATTAGTTTAAACAAGAATTTAAAATATAAACATGAGTATGAGGGTAATTTCTCTTTGGCCTTAGACAAAAACCTGTTGGGATATTAAAGAGACCTGGGGCCTGGGGATCAGAATATATGCTGATGGTGACCTCCAGTGGAAGAGAACCAGTGCCCCCTTTTTGCTTACAATGCGCATCCCTCGGGGCAACTACCTAGCACACAATTCCCCTTTGCTGTGAGTGGCTCCAGCGCACAGGGACAAGGTCTCAGTGGCCTTCTCAGATGTAGGTGACTCATCCCCTCGCTGCCACCAGTTGATCCAGAAGTAGACATCCTACGTAAATTGGTGCAATCGTAGTCTTTCCAAGGAATTTGAAACTCGGAACCAAGCAGCACGAGCTTGGGAATTGCTGGACCCGGGTTAGTGAGTGTACTGAAGAGAAGATCCACCTGCTGCTGCTGCTCTCACCCGGAGCTGTGTGGGTCCCTGCCCTTCCTGCATCTTGGTGGTTCTTATCTTTCTTCCATCCCTGTTCCTTACGCTTCACCCAGCCATTTGAGGGGCATTGGGGCTGTTTCCAGTTTCTGGTGATTATAAATAAAGTCACTAGAAGCATTTATGTACAGGTTTTTGTGTGATAAGTTTTCATTTCACTTGGGTCAATTCCTAGGCTTATGATTGCTGGGTGGCATGGTAAGTGTGTGTTTGACTTTATAAGGAACTTGTGAAGTGTTTTCTGAAATGGGTGGATCATTTTGGATTCCCATCAGCAATGTATGAGTGTTCCAGTTGCTCCACATCCTCTCCAGGACTTGGTATTATCAGTTTTTTGTTTTGTTTTTAGCCATTATCATGAGTATGTATTGGTGTCTCATTGATTTTCATTGGAATTTTATAGTGACTAATGATGTTGAACTTCTTTTCCTGTGCTTATTTGCCATTCATTTAACAGTTTTGGTGAAGGGTGTGTTCAAATCTTTTGCCCGTTTTGAAAAATTGGGTTGTCTTCTTATCATTGAGATTTGAGTGTTCTTTATATATCCTGGATACAAGTCCCTTTTTAGTTATGTGGCTTACAAAAATTTTCTCCCAATTGGTAGCTTGTCCTTTCATTCTCTTGACAGTGTCTTTTGCAGAGCAGAGTTTTTAATTTGATGAAATCTAGTTTATCAATTTTATCTTTTATGCTCTTGGTGTCCTATCTTAGTCTTTGCCTAACTCAAGATCACAAAAGATTTTGTCCTATGTTTTATAGGAAAAGCAGTTTTATAGTTTTATTGTTTACACTTAGGTCTGTAATCCATTTGAAATTAATTTTTACAAAAGATATGAGGTATGGATTGAGATTCATTATTTTGTATGTGGATGTCTAATTATTTGGCTCTCTTTGTTGGAAAGACTTTCTTCATGGAATTGCCTTTTCACCTTTGTCAAAAATCAATTGGCCGTTTTTGTGTGGGTCAGTTTCTGGACTCTTTATTCTGCTCCATTGATCCACGTCTCCATCCTTTCGCCCATGCTGCCTTGTTACTCTCATTAGTGTAGCTTTATAGTAAGTCTTTAAATCAAGTAGTATGAGTCCTCCAACTTTGTTCTTTTTCAGAATGGTTTTGGGTATTCTTCTTCTTTTGCCTTTCCAGTTACATTTTTGAATCAGCTTGTCAATTTGTACACATAGTGCTATTGACATTTTAGTTGGAATTGCGTAAAATAGGTAGATCAATTTGAGGAAATTGTTATCTTAACAACATTGAATCTTATAATCCATGAACATGGTATATCTCATCCTCTGATTTCTTTTACTGGTATTTTGTAGTTTTCAGTATATACATCCTGCACATATTTTGTTATATTAATACCTATTTCATGTTTTTTAATGCATTATTCATAATTTCATTGCTGATTATTTATTGCTATTATAGAGACATTCAGTTGGTTTTTGTAGTGCCCCTATATCCTGTGACCTTGCTAAACTCACGTATTAGTTCTGGGAGCTTTTTTTTTGTAGATTCCTTGGGATTTTTCATGTAGACAATCATGTTGTCAGTGAATAGAACCAGTTTTATTTATTATTTTCAAATCTGTATGCTTTTTATTTTGTTTTCGTTTCTTGCACTGGCTAGGATTTCCAGGATGATGCTGAATAGGAGTGATGAGAGCAGACATCCAATCTTGGGGGGAAAGCATTCAGTTTTCCAACATTAAGTATGTTAGCTGTAGGGTTTTTTTTTGTAGAAATTCTTTATCAGTTTAAGGGAGCCTCTAGGAGCTGAGGATGCCCTCCAACGAATAGTCAGCAAGAATCCAGGGTCTTCACTCTTACAGCCACAGGATGAATCCTGTGAGCTTGGAAGTATATTCTTCCTCAGTGATATTAGTTTCCTATTGCTGCTGTAACAGATTTCCACAAACTTAGTGGCTTAAAACAACACAAATTTATTATCTCATAGTTTTGAAGACCAGAGTCCAAAATGAGTCTTATGGGGTAAACATCAAGGTGTCAGCAGGGCTGTATTCCTTCTGGAGGTTCTGGGGAAGAATCCATTCCTTGCCTTTTCCAGCTTCTAGAGTTCACCTGTATTCTTTGGCTGGTGGCCCCTTCCTCTGTCTTCAAAGCCAGCAATGGCTGGTCAAATCTTTCTCACATCATATCACTGTGACTTCTTCTGTTGTCACATCTCCTTCTCTGATTCACCTGCCTGCCTCTTTCTCTTATAAGGACCCTTGGTGATTACATTGAGTTCACCCAGATAATCCAGAATAATCTCCCCATTTTAATCT